TTCACATCCTAAATTAAGGTATTGATCACATTGATAGCGTCAGAAATGTCAAATTGAAGTGGCATCTCTTCAATTACAGTATCTGTAAATCTGGGAGAGGACGTCACCTGAATTGGGAGAGGTGTGATACTACATAAGGCAGGGCCCTTTTCAGTTGCTTCGTGTCGAGTTATTGTTGTCTGTTGTGCGACATACAAACTGCATATTATCATAGCTTGTTTCTCGGTTTATTATTGCTCGCTGTGTGTCTCCTTATAAGTGTTGTTTATGTGACTGAACGAACGAGAGAGAACCATCCGACCTAGAGGAAGTCAGTGAAGTGTGCAGAACATTGGGCAGAAGCCGAACAAAAATTTCGGTGGAATGCCAGATAAAATTAATGAAGGGAGACGAAAAGAGCTTCAATAAATTCTCGCCACCACTGGATTCCCTTTTACACTCGCCACAGGATGCAACAATAAAAGAAGAGCAACAGAAAGTCCTGCCTTTGAGGGAACCATAAACCAGAGGTAAGACTTGAATTTGATTGGACTCACGAAAGGCGAGATTTTGGCCGAAATGGAAGACTGCGCCTCGTCAGAGACGCTTTTTTGGGTGAATGCAGAAACTGTGACTTCCCGAAGAGTCACAGCTGGAAAAGTGAACAGAAACGGAGGAGATCTCTATGGTCCTGTGCATGCGGAGGAGAGAATGAGAGAAAATATAACACACTGTTCAATTCACATGCTGTCTTTCTCCACATTTCTTCTCATGCAGAGTGTCTGATGGCTCGTCCATGATTTCTGGCAACTCCACAAATATCGTAGCAGCAACAACACAACACCCAGAAGATCTAACAAAACAAGACCGACATTCAATTCTCACTTGTTCCACCAAACATAACACACACTCACACGAATACCATCATCGCACCCATCGTGAACTTGAAAAGAAGTGTACCTTATGCATCTTCAAGAGTTCCCATTTATCCAATCAGAAAAAAAACAACCGCGAGGAAGGATGGTTTCGTGAGAAGGCGAAGAAGCAGGATCCACTACTCAGCATATAACCGAAGCATAATTTAATGCAAATTATCTGAAAAACAAGAATATGGATAGAGGCGATAGTTGAGACGTGATAAATGTCTTTGGAACCTTCTTTTCCCTTCGTTCACATCTCTTTAGGAGAATTTTCGTCTCTCTTTTCATTTTTTTCCGTCGGTTTTCGACTTTTTAAATTTTAATGGGGCTCTGCCTTCGCCGTCTCCCGCGATCCCATGACTTCACAACTCTCCTCATGTGCCAGTGATGCTCCACAAAAGTCAAAACACATATTTCTCCACCGGGAGAACAACGAAAATAACCGTTTAAGTGGCTTCTCCTTTTATTTCAACTTTATCTGCCACTTTGTGCCAAATATGCACCTCCATTCTTCACTCCTTCAAAGTGTTTTTTGAGGTTTTGTGAAGAGGTCAGGCAGACAACGAGAACAGGTACAAATAGAAGAAAAGCCCAGAGTGAGAATTGTCTGGTTAATAAATTGACTGAAATATTTCATAGCATCTCATCTTGGATAAGTGTGTAAATATTCAGAAATGCGTTGAAAATTCCTAAACTCCCGAAGACCTCATGCGGCAAAGGAATTCAGGTGAGAAACGGCCGGATCCGTGATAATCCCAATTTCTCATGATAACTCGCGTTCATTCACACCCGAGAATATTTTACAGGAAAAGAAAAGAAAGAGAGAGAGAGGGAAAATTGTGTGATGGGAAGAATAGAGAAACACATTTTTCCTGGCGAAAAGAAAAATTGTGTTCTTCGTCGCGCGGTAATATTCATTTGACTTTTGGCTTTGACGCCGGGGCGCGCTTTTTTCTCAAATTAAATTATGTGGAAATTCGTGAGAATTTCTTATCGTGTAAACAAGTAAATTAAATTCAATTATCGTCAAAGTGAGCAACCGCAGTCTGATTGATTTATGTTTATAGACTCTTACACACACGTTTTATTTTATTTCCCCGAAGATAGCACTCAAATTCAGCCCCAAATTTTCATGTCGTGCTGACGGACGTCTCGCTGTTTCTCTCTCTCTTTCCCACTCAAATTTGACGATCACGATATGAGTATCTTACCGATTAATATTTTATTTCATTAGCGTCCAACAGAACATACTTTTCTGCCTAAAACACTTCACGTGTGGAAAGCCTATGACGACAGCTTCCAATATTTCTCTTCAAATTCTAGCGTTACATAATTTGCAATGTGCGTATGTGATATTTTTCGATAACTCCGGACAAAATATGTAGATTTTGAGTGAGAATTTGAGCCTTTCACTCAGTTGAGGAGGAAAAAATACAAAAGTCAGGATCATTTCAATGAATTGAAATGAAGAATTTACAGTGTGATAGAATTTGCCTCAAAAGCTTATTCCACGAAACACACACCTTAAAAATGCAGGGCGCGAAGCACCTCATGACTGATATTATTAACTCCTTCTTTTCGTGGGTCAAATTGAGAATGGAGAGTGGAAAAAAACTCATGAATGAAGGTGCTAAAATAGTTTAACACGACGATTTTCCCATCTGTCTTTCCTTTCTGACGATGGGAAAGACAGAGTATGGCGCACTTGCATAAATTAGACAGAAGAGAGTCTTATTATATGCAAAATGACTTGAATCTAGCGTGAGTATGCAAAATTTGAGTACATCAATTCTGGAAATGTGCTTGAGAATCCGTGACAGAAGGTAGAAAGTGAGCAAAAGAACGGGGGAATAAATTCCACAGAAATATACACTAATTACTTAACAGTAATTCCACTGTTTGCTCACTTTTTCGTCCTCACTTTTGATGACTGTCTAACTGGGCTGAGTTTATAAATAAATTTACAAACATACTCTAAATGTTTAATACTTGCAGCATAATTCCCGGACAAACTCACGCGCGCAAAAAGGGCGATCCAGCAAAGAGCCACACAATAGTGATGGGCACACATTGGAAGGGGAAGAAGAGAGTGAGAAATTGTGACAGGAAGTAGTATTTAGAGAGTGTCTATAATTAAAATTGAAAACCTGACAGAGATGCCACGAGATTATTCATGTTTCTTCCACTCAGCCAGTTGCAAACACATAAATATCGACCCAATTTCCTATGAATCCTCCTTCGGTGACAAACATTACAATCTCAGCGATGTGATGAGAACCGATCTCCAGATTTTTCTTTCAACTCTCACGCTCAACCCATGCTCAAGAATTATGAGTCGCGTGCGATACAACATCCTGAATCAAATCGTGCGCATGTTTCAAGTGGCCAAGCGACAGATATTGGAAGAAAGGTAGCCGAGGAAGAGCACATCCGATGCCCAGACAAAATTGATATGAATCAGATGTTAAATGAGTAACATTAGAAGAGTTATTTATCTTCATAACTTCAACATTGTATATATCACAGTGGATGTTCGAGAGGAGAGACAAAATTGCGGATGTTTATCAATGTGTCAGTAAATAGAAGTCGAAAAAAGTCTTATATAATCACCTTCTTCGACCGAAGACTCACTTTTCCCGAATGTCTCTAAAATAAAATTGTAAGAAGTATTCCTTCAACTCGAGACAGACATGTTTAGAGAGTCCCCAAAAAGTGCTTTTCAGTCTAAATAAACTCTCGTGTAAATATTATCACAGAAATTGATAATATCCACTTCTCTTTTCCTCAAAATCCAAGATAAAATACCTAAAGGAAAACATTGTGCCAGACCTGAAGTTTTGTCGAGGATTTTTTTTTTCCTGCTCGTCTCGTCAGACAAATTTGCCTCTTCAAGTGTTAATCGTCTGCAGTTCATGTAGAAATATCTTTTTTCCTGGAACTTCCTTCCCAACCCTTTCGAAAATCATCTTTGAACTCTCGCAGCAGTGAATAGGGAGGGAAACACCTGTAACTGACGACCGGCTGCTCTTTCAGCCTCAGCAAGCACGACATTTTATTGAAGAATTCCCTATAAAGTCTATCCAGGTTTTTTTTTCTCTGTCATACATATATAGTATTTATTTTTACTACAAGTCCCCCTCCATCTCGTCCCACTCTCTCGACATTCCCTTAATACTCTCCACTAAAAGTCTGTCTATTATTTATTCACACACAGCATTTTAGGAGTCAAGATGCAAAGAGAAGTTCAACTTTTTTGGAATGCTGAAGCCTCTCATTTTATAGCTCGTTTTTAAACTCTTCACGTGGTCGTTTTTTTCTCTTCCTCTCCTTCTTTGATTCATAAAACAACGCACATGTTCAGTTGCTAGGAAACTACTTTTATCTCCTGGTGCATTTTGGGAAGAACTCTTGACAATTTCTGATGCTCCATATAATGAAAAATCAGTGAAATCTCAACACACTATGATGCATAATTCCTTCGATCTGCGCCTATTTCTACGACTTCTACCTGTTTAATGGACTACACTTGTTAGACAATTCTAGCAAGAGTGAGGAGAATTCTAAATTCAAATCCATTCCCTCGTCTTTGGCTCAGGAATTTTAACCATCTTTCTGTGTTTTCCCCACATGAATAAAGATGCCGACAGCAGAGGGAAAAGTACACTTTCTGTGCAACTTTATATCTATCGATTATCGGCGATTTACTCGCCTATCAGTTCACTGATAAGGAAGCATGTGAAAGAGCGTCAATATAGGTTGATCGGCAGGAAAACAAATCTAATAGAGTGTTTACACGACGGCATTAACCTGCTCTGTCCACCACAGTGTGATCAAGTGCGCTTCGTCCAAATGTACTTCTTGCACTCCGTCGAATTTTATGGTTAAATCGGCCATCGAGTTGCAATGGGCAGAGAAACAACGTTTTCCTCCGACACACACACGCGCAACAGTTCATCTTCCACTCGTGCGCGCGCGTGTGCAGTGTGGAACGTATTGTGGAAATCAACATATTTGATAAGAATCACCCGCCAAAATCGCCAACTGCCGCCCCAAAGCATCTCCCTGTGCACACATTATTGAGCACTTAACACGGAGACTCACCTGAAAAGTGGATTTAGCTGCTGAAATATGCGATTCCTCGAGGAGATTCACCTCCACATACACCAAGAAGAGATAAAGAAGAAAATGGTTGAAATGTTTTGCTTCTTTTCTTCTCTTCCCTTTTTTGACGTCTTGCCTTTGCACACACCACGAAAAACTTTGTAATTTTAGTCCATTTGATTGATTCTGTGGCAATGAAACTTGCAAAGAACTGCGATAGAGCAGTATAAATAGCCACTCTTAATTTTATTATTCACAGATAATCTCTTGTATCCACAGAAAACCGGTCACTTTTGTGTGGAATTTAGCACCTTTCGCATCGACAAACACTTTTCATGGGCTCTAGGAAATGTATTACTGGAACTTCACTGGACATTTCTCAATCAATAAATTGTCTAAAATTCGGATGCTGGTGTGATAAAATTCTCTGATAGCACAGGAGAAAGTTTTCGATCACTCGCAAGATTACGTCCTTCTCGCAGCGCTGTTTGTTTGAGACTGACGGAATCTCTCGAGTTATGCTCGGTTATGCACGCCGTCTTCACCTGTAACATCGTATTCCGCAGGGGCGAAAACTTGAGAGGAGAATGAGTGCATAGAGAAAAACAGGTCCTCGGTAGTATAGTGGTCAGTATCCCCGCCTGTCACGCGGGAGACCGGGGTTCGATTCCCCGCCGGGGAGGATCTTTTTTCTTTTTCCACGGACCCTGTTCATTTTCCAAGAATCCCAGCTGTTGAAAGGACTTCTAAACGGCACTTTTTGTCTACCTCAAGCGTCAGCTGATAGAATTCTAGGAAGGATTCACCAAGCTGAACGTACTCGAAGTTCTACCATAAAGGCTGTGTGTGTCGTACGAGTCGAACGCATCGAAGTTTATTCATTGACTTCATTGAGTACATTTTCTGTGTTTTACTTGGTTCCTGGTACATCTAATACTATTACTTAGTGAGTATTTGTTTTATTTTTCAATTAATTTTCCGCATGAAAATGAATTTTCTACTAAAATTCTTGAGAAAAGCGCGCTTTTTCACCTGATTGGAGACCTTTCGTTGAACTGCACGAAAACTATTTGGGCTGCGTATATCTGTGGGCAGCCTTTAGGTGTCAAAATCACTGATAATGGTGGGGGAACAAAAGTGTTATGACGTCCCCTTGAGTGAAATATTTTTAAGAATTGTGTAAAGTTATCAGCTGGAGAGGAGATAAATCTGTTGTTTAGTGTGTTGAGCAAATAGGGGCTTGACTAGGTGGCACTGTGAATGGTGGAAAAGGTACAATTTTGAGCGATAGCGAAGCCTTCGAGTGTGTTTACTCTCGAGCGACATTTTCCCTCTCCCAAGCTTGTCGCACATTCTTTGTGCAGAAAATTTGCATTTCTCGTGTTTATCAGTCCGCGAGGCGCGAGCTGAAGGTTTCCTTGCTGTGGAGATCATTTGGACAATGCCCAAGGGTATCTAAAACGAACGATGGGAAGAGATTTTCACACAAACGACGCAATGAATACTTTTTCAGCGATAATGCAGCCCATTGACATCTCGTCGTCAGCCACGCCAGTGGACATGGTAAGAATTCTGGGAAATTGTGGGGTTGAGGGCATGCAGAAGGCAAGATGGCTTTTCGGGGGAAAAACAGGGTGATAAGACGGATTTTATGGGCTGTGGTTGAAGAAGAGGGGCATGATTTTGAGTAGAATGTTAGGTAGAGTAGATAAATGTGTCCTCGGTAGTATAGTGGTCAGTATCCCCGCCTGTCACGCGGGAGACCGGGGTTCGATTCCCCGCCGGGGAGGATCTTTTTTTCTTCTTATGTTCTTTTTTATGCCGCAGGACAATCTCAAGGACGCCATGGAGTCCAGCCTGAAGCACGAGGAGCCGCCACTAAGCTCCATTTCTATGCAGGCGGACTTGGACGTACACGAAAGCACAAAGAAGCAACAGAGTTTCCTCCTCCTTGACGACCAGGAGCGCCTCAGTGTGCCGTCAGCGGAGGCTTTCGCGAAGCACCTCAAGTGCCCACCGAAGACTAACATCAAGGTGGTGTCCATCTTCGGGAACACTGGCGATGGGAAGTCCCACACGATGAATCACACCTTCTTCGGCGGCGAGAATGTGTTCAAGACATCGCCGGAGCAAAACTCATGCACAATGGGTGTGTGGGCGGCCCTGCAGGCGGATCTCGGAGTGCTCTGCCTTGACACCGAGGGCATGCTGGGCATCAAGGTGGAGGAGCACCAGCGCACGCGCATGCTACTCAAGGTCCTGGCCATATCGGACATTGTGATCTACAGGACGCGCTCTGAGCGTCTGCACAATGACATGTTCAAATTCCTGGGAAACGCCTCGCACGCCTTCACGCGCCACTTCTCCGAGGCTCTGCAGGCGCTCAATCTGCCTGGGCCGCCGCAGGCTCTCGGACCCGCCGTGATCATCTTCCACGAGACGTGCAACACCATTCCGCTCAAGGGCACGCTGCACTCCAACCCCGAGGATGTGCTCAGACAGACCTTCGGACAGCTCAACATGACTCTGGACGCCTTCAGCTCGCTGAAGTACGTGGGCATCCAGACGGCGACGCCGCCCACGAACTACACCAGCCTCCGCAACGCCGTGAATCTGGAGGTGGGCAACGCCACCGTGCGCTCCGCCCGGCAGCCCAGCGTTGTCTTCCAGGCGCTGCACGCGCTCAATGCCAAGTTCTCGGGCACAATCAACGAACAGCCAATCAACCCCTTCCCGGAGCAGTATTTCGCGTGCACGGCACAGTGCGCCTCGTGCGACCAGCGCTGCGAGCGCTCCATGGGCCACGGCAGCGACCACAAGACATCCAAGCGCTGCCGCCACCAGCATCAGTACGGCAACAAGGTCTACCTCTGCAAGCAGTGCCTGAACAATGGCCGGGAGGTGAGTAAACGCAGTGAAGAAGCACTTCTAATTTTATCGCCCGGAGTTGAAGTGAGACTAAAGATTTGAGATGTTAGGGAAAAAGGGGAACTTGAAAGGAAATCTGTTGGTGAAATTGTCAATTCTGAAACAGCTTTGTTCCCACAAATTTAAGTAAAAGAAAGAACGTTTAGTAGGCTAAAGACTATAAATTTAGTGTGTTTCTTTATCAGTGATAATCATTTTAAATCTTCATTTGGCTCCATAAAGATTCCATTTATTTTCAATCTGCAATTTTTCAGCTCTGTCGACAAGGAATGGAAAATAATGCGTAGAAGTCTTAAAGCGTCTCGTATTTTTCCGCAGGTTATTGTCAACGTGACGACGCAGTCGGAGAGTGAACCCTCGTGGCTGGGCTTGGCGAAGTTCGCCTGGAGTGGATCGGTGATTGAGTGCTCGAATTGTGGCGAGATTTACAGATCCAGGCAGTATTGGTATGGCAACAAGTCGCCCGAGGATTACGCCGTGAAGTCGGAGATCGTGCACGTGTGGCGCGGCAGTGATCACAGCGTGAAGAGTCAGATGTACTCAGCACAGATGCTGCTGGACGGGGTCTCCTATCTTGCGGAGACCGTGTCCAGCCTCAGTGCCCAACCATCGAAGGTCATCACGGACTGGGCGACGGACAAGATCGCCCCGGATTACTGGGTGCCAAATGCTCAAATCACCGTGAGTGGGCTTTGCTAGAGATTGGCTCTTGGGCTGAAACTGAAGCTGAGATGTTTTGTGTTTTTGCAGCACTGCCACAACTGCAGTGAGAACTTCGACATGTCCAAGTTGCCAAAGCATCACTGTCGGCGCTGCGGAAAAGGCTTCTGCAGTGCGTGCTCAAACAACGAGATGCCCGTGCCGGAGCGCGGTTGGATAGAGCCGGTGCGAGTGTGCAACTCGTGCCGGGATTATCTGGCAAAGGCGGAGGCTGGAGGTAAAGCATGCGTCTGATAGTAACACAGTAGTTTGCATTACTAATCTGTAGCAAATCTCTCGTTGGATCCGATTCTGGTTGACGACGTAGAAACTAACCACAGAGAATCATCACCCTCTTCACCTGTTGTAGGCAGTGGATATTGCGGACCCATTGACGACTCCAACATACGTGCCCGACGAGTGGGAGAGGCCGTAATCAGCACGCTGACGTCCGTCGCGTCTGTTCTGGAGTACCCCAAAGGTTTGATCGTAGACACTGACTTTGGCTCATTTGCCTCCACAATTTGAGGTTTAATGCTGTCTTTGCAGACTTTATCAAGGATTCCGTGCGGCCTGCTTATTGGGTGGCGGACGCCGACGCGAAGAACTGTGCAATATGCGAAATGGCTTTTGGCTCTCTGGAGAAGCTCTCACCAGGTGCCAATGGCAGTCCGACGGGCGGGGGCAGTCCGAGCCGCAATGCACAGCTGGATCGCGATCGTCGGCGGCATCACTGTCGCTCTTGCGGCTGTGGCGTGTGCAACAACTGCTCGCGAGGACGCCGCCCGGTGCCGAGCCGCGGCTGGACAACGGACGTGCGCGTGTGCGACAAGTGCATCAGCCTGGCAGACTGAAGTCCTTCTCCTGATACTCCTTCTTTGTGGCTTGTGATAGAAATCGTGTGGTTCTATTCAAAGCTGGACTGGGTGATCCTCAAAACAAGGACTCGACAATGCTTTTTATGGACATGTTTTTATTTTCATTCCAGGTACATGAAAAGTTTTCGAGTTGATCGATTTATCTTTCTTTTCTAATCATTTCTAAACGACTTGTTTGTATTTCTCAAAAGTTTCAAGATTTATGCGCATGTAGAATAATTGATGAGCAGAGAATAAAAGTGCGTTACTTTTGAATTTGTTTTATTCTCTATATATTGGAATCTGTGCTAAGTTTAGAGACTAGTTGCGGACTTTGCAGTGAATTGCCACTCGTGCGGGGATATCGATGTTGTTCCTGGTCAGCAAATCCACGATGGTCTGCACAAAATTGCGGTCGAGCTTCAGTTCGTCATCTTCGCAGATTTTGTCGAAGAGCTCCAGAGCCGCTTCGTGATTGTTGTCCTGCACGAAGGACTTGAGCAGCATGGAGTACATGTCTTGCTCTTTGATGAGATATCCCAAGCCTCTCGTGCATCTCGCCAGGCGCACCAGAGGCTCCACTTTCCGGGCATCGCTAAGGTAGTCGCACTGCTTCTGGAACAACTCCTGGTTGATGCGGAACTGAGGGTCAATCAGCAGCTTCCGCAGCTGATTATCCGTTCCGCCCTCGGCCAGAGCAAAGATCAGCGTCATCTGCGAATTTGCCGTTCCGTAGATCTTCGCCACGGCATCCATGATTTCCTCCATCATCTTGGGAAGAGCATCTTTATCCGTTCTGAACTTCGCCGGATCATGCTTTCCATTGCTGACTTCCAGGATTAGTGTCATGAGCTCCAACTTTAGCGGTGTCTTCTTGAATCGTCTGGCAATATCTTTGAACTCCGCCACTGCTCTTGGCAGGTCACCGCGCAGGATGTGCTCTCGAACAACCGGTCCAAGAACCGTGTTGTGATAGTCACAATAATTCAGATTTACGAGGAAGCGCAGGAAGTTCTTAACTTCTCCGCTCGCCTTGTCAGTCTTCACCGCGTGTTGAGCCACATTGGTGAGTAACTGCCAGACGTTCTTCAGATTATTATTGCCTCCTCGAATCTTTGTAGCCGCTCGCATTGTCAAGACTTTCTTGGCCTCATCTACGAATCCCTTTTCCACGAGAAAACTGGCAAAGTTAATTACTTTATGCTCGTCCACAGCGAATCCAGGATATTTTCTCTTCAGCTCAAGCCATGTCCATTCAGCTTCCAGCAAGTTCTTCGTCTTCACGTGTAGATCGAATATACTGGCCAGCATCCCTGGACTGAGATCCACTTGTCTCTCATCGCACAGCTTCTTCACCTCAATAGCGCGATCCAGCTTGTTCTTCTGCACGTTCAGCTGCAGCAGACGTCGCAGAACGCCTCTCGTGTTCAGCCTCTTTGCCTCCAACTCCACCAGATGACACTCCAGTTCCTCCAGCGTCATGTCACGCGGATGAGCGATGTGTTGTCCAGCACTGTCCCTAGAACTGCCAGTCACCATTTTGTCCACAATCCGATCGAGGTCGTGCTTCATTGTGGTCGCTAATTTCTTGTCCAGACTTTTCTCCAGGAACTGCTCCACTGTATCTCCTGCCATGCGGGAGATCTTAACGCCGCACAGGAAAAACTCCTTGATGATTTGTGCCAAACTATCATGCGACGGAGGAGAGCGACTTATGACCAGTTCCATGAGGAACTTCCCACCGATGTCAAAGGGAGCGTCACTTCTGGAGGCGAAGAGAGCCACCAGTTTTCCCAAGAGTGTAGTGTTTGTGCAGAAAACATGAGTTGTGATGAGCGAAGAGACGAGATCTTCACAGTTGACCTTTGCCTGGTACAGGCTAACAATATCGTACGTCTCTTGGAACCTTTTCTGCATCAGCAAGTTGGAAGCGAGTGGAGTGAGCAGCTGGGACATCCTCACGCCGCAATCTTCCATGAGTTTTATGGCACTCACAGGATGCTTCAAGATAATACTCAGCCGCGGTAGGACGTAAAGATTGATTGTCTCAGAATCCGGAGGAACCCCAAGCTTAGACATCTCTGTCATCACGTCTAGGATTCCCTGTTCTCCCATGATCGTGAAATTCCTGATGATTAGCGGCCAGAAGTAGTGAGGCTTCAACTCCTCGTTATGCGATAATTCCTGCAGCAAATCTAGCGACATTGGCGATGATCTTCTGAGGGAGATTTCGATTGCCACGTGAAGAGCTCTCGTATTTCGTCCGGATTTGGCCAAACTGGCGCACAGAGCGATCACATCCTCAGCCGAACAGCCCTTCTTGATCATGTCATTGATGAGAAACGTGGCATATCCATCGAGATCTTCGTTAGAGTGGAAAACGGGCTTCGGGAGAGAATTCAGAACTTCCAGAGTCTTGTTCCACTTTCCTTCGTAGACAAGTTCAGTCAGGAGATTTCGGAGGAGTGCGTGAATTGTTCTCTTGTTGAAGATCTCCTCGGGCAGGTACTTCACTATCGCCGCCACGAAAAACTGATCCACATTGTTGCTCACGGCCACTTTTACGATGGTGAGAATTTGCTCAGGGGCCAGAAAAATGCCTTCCTTGCCCAGAACTCCTGCGGCACGATCCAACGTCTTATTCTCCACGTACGCCTTGATCAGTTCAGTCGCTGTGGCGGGACTCTGCTCCACATTAGCGGCTGCCATTGTCTCTAGGACGAGTTCGACGTTCTTCAAGTCTCTGTTACGCGAATGGGCGAGAATGAGAGCATTGAAGACTTTCTCTGTGGCCGGGAATTGCTTCTCCTTCATCTCCGCCAGTATCTTGTACACCTCATCAATAAGATTGCACTCTGCGGACAAGTACAGCAGCTCCTCGTAGATTCTCGCACTCGCGGGAATATTCAGTTCTTCCAGGAAGCTCTTGTAGTCCAAAATGCACTGTCTATTCTTCCTCCTCACCTCCAGCAATGTGATGTAGTCATCAGCCGTGGGCGCTGTGGACTTCTTGATAAACTCCCAGATCTTACTGACATACTCATCGCGTTCCTGCACTGTTAGATCCGGAAAGAACGTTCCACAACTTCTCAGCAGGAATAAAATATTGTCCTGACTCGTTTGGTGTTGCGGCAGTTGTGAGATGACCTCCTCGAACTGTGTCCTGGCGATTCTGTGATTTGCAGCTGCATCTCCCCTGATCTTCTCAAGATTCTCATAGAAATCATCCAACTTCAGGCGGGAGCCACTCAAACACCGGCTGGATGTCCACACACTTTCCAACCTCACTCTGCAGACAGCATGTCTTGGGCCTCGTAAATAAGTCCTCACGCCTGCCCCGATCCGAAAATGTCTCTGGAGAGCTCTGAGTGCCATCAAAACCCAGGAAAATGAGTCCTCCAAAGTGCGGGTTAAAAAATACAGAGAACGTCAAATTCACGTGTCAAAACGTCAAAATCTTGGGCTGCGTATCAGGATCAGGTGAAATTGGAACGACGTAAACAAAATGCGAAAATCAACACTTTTAGATCATTTAAGGCCATAATTACACATAAAAGTGTGATTTCTTAGTTCAAATCTTATTTTACGTACTGTCCCTTGGCGAAAGCTTAAGAAACTGCAGGATCGATTTTTCCACGATGCGAAAATTGTTTAATAGGTTGCGTATATATTTGTTTATTTCCCAACCTCCTCATCAATGATGATTTTCACATCTGCTTTTCGCGATGGAATTCGCATGAATTGTGGCATTTTGTCATGAAATATTTCCAATTGGTAATTGTTAGCAGATTTTGGGTGTAATTCGAGAGGACAACGCTAAAGAGCGTGATTTTGAGAAAATAGCTCAGCGGCCAACTTCATTGTCATCTGTTTGCGTTTTTGACACATTGAAAGTGTTGAGTTTTCTTGCTAGCGAAAAAAGTGGAAGGGACGCTCGTCTGTGAAAAAGTGCAGATATCTTGGGAAATATCGCAGGTACGTGGTGAAAAATGGTCTCAGGTGATTCCTGGAGAGCCTGGCAATGCGGATTCGATGGAATTTGGTTGGATTGACGGGGAAATGGGTGGAAAATTGTTGCGTAAACGTCGTCTTGGGTGAAAAATGTGCGTCTGTGTGAGTTACAGAAACGGAATGAGGCACCAGCAGCCAGTTGCGAAGCAAAAAAGCCTGACCCATTTTTGTTGTGTGTTTTGAAGGCGATTCATCGGATTTTTACAAATCCCATGGCACCAAACTATTGTGCACAGAATCACCAATGAACCCCCCAATCGGTGGGCCAGGGGCGCCTCGTGTCTGGGAACTGCGCCACACTGGCCACACTCCATTTTCTCTCCCCGGAATGGTGGCCAGGGAGTGCGACAAAGGCTCATTGTGAGCCCCGAGCACGAGGCATCGCGGCCAGTGAGAGAAGTGCCCTCGTGAAGGTCACGCTCTCACGGAGAGTCCACGTTCCGGGAGCACGAGATCTCCTCCTGAGGCGGGGAAAGGATATTTTCAGAGCAAACTGCATAATTCCCCAGAAAGTGTCCACGTCAATTGCTAATATTCCGATGCGTTCGATTCCGTCTTTTTTCCTCTCTTTAGCTTCGGGCCTGAAGAACTTGAAGCTCAAGAGGCACACAATCGCACTTCTGCGGTTACCAACACACGCCTGCCCAAATTTGGTGTTTGCTCAAGTGTTTGGGCTCAGGAGGAAGTGGCGGGGAGGTGATCCATCCATCAGACTCCAAATGATACCTAAATGCATCATAGACAAGATTTCCGGGTGAGGAAACAAAGTTCTCCGCAGATAATGGACAGCAACCCCTCGAGATGATTCATCACTTTCCACCGCTGGAGATTTGCAAAAATCTTCGGTGTTTAGGCTTGAATCATGCAGAGGAATTCAGATGAGCTTTAGCTCCAAACATGGAATTGAAATTGAAAGCGCAAAATGTCAATTAACCCTTGAAAGTCGCTCTCACATCTTGATGCCAATCGCATTTCAACAGGACATTGAGAAGGGCTGCGGAGAAATTCAATATTGCTAATAATATTCTACTTGTGGCGACGAAGTGTTAACATTACTCACCGACTGTAAATACACCAAATCGGTAATTGCGGTGTTTGTGACTGCAAAAAGCCTTAAATCTGGTCATTAGCAGTAGTCTAATAAACAAAGCTTGTTGCAAAGGGTTTTATAGACTCAAGAGACCTCTCCCAGAGTCGGTAAACACTGGTTAAGGAGCCTGAAAAAGCGCACATTCGACAGAATTGTGCTAAGTGAGAAGAAAAATTAGCCTCTCCGACATTTTATGATGGCATCGATGTGTATTGAGAATATCTCAATGGCTGTGAAGAAATTTAATTCCAGATTGTATGGGAGAAAGGCTGTAATTGTGTGTAAACAAGCAGCATTGAACTGCTCAGCAATTCACCAAGAAATTAATATTCAAAGTCGCACAGGTAGACGAGAATATGCAATTATAGAGCTAAAGACTCAGTACGGCTCAGTTTAGCTCTCTGTATTGGTTTTTTGGACTTTTTATTTCACTCTCTGCGCCTTATGAAAAAAGAGAGACGCGCTAAAGACACATACAACGTCTATTTTGTTGCGTAATGAGATTTCTGGCTTGACGATTCGCAGGGAAAATTCAGTGCAAAAGTGTTGGAGGGCGACTTTCCATTGAACATGTGTCCAGGGGCTTTTGGGGGTGCTTGAAAGGACTGGGGCTTTTTCACTTGAATGAATCCTTTTCCAGGAGGCAAAAGCGGGGTTTGGACATTCAGTCAATGGCGATTGATTTAAATTGTTGGCCATAACAATGGAGAGTTTATACTGTTCAAAGGGAAGGCGATATTTCTTCTATTTCATTTTAATCGAAGAGGAAGGAAAGAAAGGTAGAAAGAGAGTGAGGAAATGGTTTTTTTTTGTTGACTGCGAACAATGCAGTTGTCCTTCCTACAAGCGACATTCGGACGAATCTTGTTCATTTGGATATTTGCACCTATTTACAGAGGAGATATTCCGACTAAAAATGTGTGGTGCAAGATCTTCTATGTCAGTGATTATCGGTCTTGCTTTGCTGTGTATATGAGAAGAGCTCTCAGAGTTTATTGTTGTGTGTGATTCGATGTTGTTTGGTGTGTATTAAAAGCTTTTTTCCGCTCCTCGATCGCGCCTTTGTGGCTGTGGTGTGGGTGAAGTTCATCAATTTTCCACCATAATCTTCCTTTTTGCCGTGCACAAAGTCGGCAATGGTCGGTGTGATTTGCAACTTTCGCGATAACAACGCAAGTTTGGTGTGATTGCTGTAAAATTGACTTGTTAATCAGATTTTTCCCTTTTGCCATCCAAACATTTCATGCAAAAAGTCGAACGTAGGACAGAAACTTGATTTCGCCTCTCTTGAAACTGAGAGTAAAATTTAATTACAACTCAAGCATATTCATTTACTATTCACATTATAATTTAATTTGTTGGCTGATATTATCTGGTTGGAAGAAGTGCGAAGTGGGGATAAGTTGTGCGTTTTTCTCCATGCCGAATCACAATAATTATTCTTTCCTTCGAATTTGTACACCATGCTTTATTGAAACTCATTTCCATTTGTCCCTGGGATTAATCGTGTAGAGTTTTGTGGCAGATGATAAAAGGCGATATATCGCTATTGATGAACTTGAATGTGTGACAACAGGACAGGTTGCAAATTAATTAATTTATCAATGGGGTTTCAGCGTTTTTGACCACCCGAATTGATTTTGGTGTCGCGAAATGTGCATGTAAAACTCGATGAACGCAGATCGATTGGGGGAAAAGTGAAAAGGTGATGCAAATGAGGAAGGGCAATCGATTTCATGTGAAATGTAATACTGGAAATGGGGATTTAAGCAGTGGAATTAAAACTGGTAGTGAAACACACCATTTTTGTACACTGCCGAATATGACCTAGAATTGCCGTGTGTGCGTTCGCCCCGTTCGCCCGCAAGAAGGGGCATGGAAATTTTTTTGTTTTTTTCAGCAAAATTTCATCATTTGCAGCATGAGTACGTTTTATTGGAACTTTGAGACCCGATCAATTGATCAAAAAAAGGGGAGTTCAATATTGCTATGGAAGAGAAGCACAAAGATGATGTGTTGTTGTGCGGCAAATTGTGAAATTGCGTAGTGTTTGTGGCTTCTATGTTATATTTGTTATTTGGCGAATTCTTCTCTCCGTGGATAGATACAGAATTTGGGTGTAATCGCTTTTGGATGGATGAAAAGTGTGTTTGAGGAATTTTCCACTGCTGATGCGTCTTTTGGATGGTAAATAGAAAAAGGTGACTTTTCTGCAAGGATGAAGTGAAGCGTCGATTGCGCGGCGTCACAAAAATATTCGGACAGTGACAAACAATAATTGAGTTTATTTGTAATGTCCATGACGACGCTGACAATAACGAGAACGTGTGGAGTATTTTCGCAGTACATGATAGTGAACTATACTGCAGCATTTATGAGGCATATATTGCAGAGACAACGATAAAAGACAGACATAGCGCAGTTTTAGCACTGGACACAGCAAATAAGGGAAAAATCGCAATTTAATGATGATTTATTCAATGATAGATTAGTGTCCACATTGCACAGTGTCTCCTTCTCAGACATCCACCCTTGTATGGATATCACAGTGTTTGCTGTTCTATATATTACACCACGTATGACGGAGTGAAACCGTGTGTGATTTATGGTTTGAACTTAGCCACAAAGGTAGAATCCCTGATAGTGTGCGCCTCTGTTCTCTGGCCGCTACATTTCATGATGATTTCATTTAATTCAATATAAGCAATTTGAGTAACGATTATTGGACTGAATTTGGTGCACAAATCAACATTTTCACCCATGTTGACGCGCGAGTTTGTGTGCTATGTTCTCAAATGTTGTTTGGTGTTGTGTGTGCACGAGAGGAGCAAGTTAACTGTTTACAGTAAATGATAATCAATTACTTGGCCTTCTCCATCTTATAACATTTCTTCAGCATCATCTCAATTTCGCTTCATGTCTGCCTTTTATATAAAAATCTCATTAGGCATTTTTAAAAGACTTTCAAGCATTGGCAAAAAGTCAAATTGCCAACAAAGGGGTCATGCGTTTCACTCTTGAAGGTTTCTTTTTTGCCATTTCTCGTGCTCTCAACACTACAATTGCAATTGTGGCAGTTATAACCAAATATTTAGAATTTACACATGAATTCTGCACTGAAAACCTCTTGTTGTATTTGTATGTAAATTTTCTATCTAACGTTTAACTCAGGAATTCAGGTGCGATCACATTTTCGGTACGTTGAGTGTTAATGAATCGCAAATTTTATTCTCTTTGTGATGGATTTTTGCGATGTTGTGTTGCAAATTGTACAGGAATTTCCAGTTTGTTGTGGACAAGAATTTCCGCAATGATTTGCCTCCCCAAAAAGCGTAGCATGAAAGAGAAAATGGAGAGGAAAAGATTGAATATATGCGAAAGAGGAATACTGCGTTTCTCATGTATTATGATTCTTCATATTTACTCGACGTGAGGTGCAGAACAGTTAAATTTGGCACTCAGATTGGGGCAGCTCGGAGAGAGATTTTAAAATCTTTCAAGCATGTGCAAGAATACCAACACCTGATGAAATTTTATACACCAAATCGCGCAATGAAGCCCGTGTCGCTGAGCTGGACAGCGCGCGGGGTTTTGTTGGCGATTGAGTGTGGGGATTTCGTGTGTGTTGTGTAGAAAATGGACAAGGTGATATGCGGATGCTCCATAAGACTTGTTTAATTATGTTTCAATGGTGGAACGGGTGGAACGTGAAAGTATAATTAACTTTTTTCTCCCCCTTCGCCGGCGAAGTTGGTGTTTGTGCCAAAGAGTCTCTCTTGATCGTTGGGTGACAAAGGAGCATGGAATTCACATTTTAACCTCTTTTAATACGCTTTGGCAAAACGGCGACCGGGAAAGAGAGAGAGAGGGAGAGGGAGAGAGAAAGAAAGGGGCTTAGTTTTATATTAAATTGTTTGGTATTTAGTGTGTTTGACTCTTTTTAAATCGCAGAGCAAGAGAGAATGAGCGTCTTGTGGGCAGAGAGACGCGACGATGCGGCATTTGTGTGACGAAAGAAACGCAGGAAAGTAGAGAATCGCTAATTTTATCAAAATGCGACATACGACTCGAGAGTGTCGTCTCTAAATTGGTTCTCTCGCGGCGTTTTCGAAATGTTAATAATAACACATTGTGAGTAAAGTGAAGAGATGTTATTTGTTAGTAGAACTCCACCTCTGCATACTTGCGCACATTTTTTGTCCTTTGTATGAGTGTGTATTAATAGTATGTGAAAATTTTAAAATGTTTACCCATAATCGCCTCTCGCTCTCTCATTAAATTTGCCTTGTTAAAAATGTTAATTTGTCTGTAAATTAATATTTTGCGATATATTGAAATGAAATAGTTGACGTTTAAGTATTTTCATCGCAATATTATTTGCTATTCTCCCATCGCTGCGCGTGTTCTGCGTGTCGCCAGTGAGTTGTGCTTTGAGTGTGTGTCCGGAGGAATAAAGGAGGAGATGACACTAGAAAGATACGCGATAATTGATAAGATAAAAGGCAAAGTTGCTGAGGTGAAGATGGTGGAGCAAAAATTGTCTGGGTGGAATTTACAAGCCACTTTCTATGGCTGACGATTGCTTTATTGTGTAGCAAGAATGTCTGAGAAATTAGTGTGCTCAACATTTTGCAGATTCGATTGAGCGATCTAAAGAATGAATACATGTGTGTGTATTAATGCAAGAAAATAATTAATACGCCTATATCACTTTGCACCTCAGCGCGGTTGTCATTGAGTGGAATTTTTCAGGCGTGAAATCAATTTGTGAAGCAGCACGATGGAGGTGAAGTGCAGGCCTTTTCCTCACAATTTTTCCACTGAATTTTATTTAGCATTTAAAGTATAAAGCGCGTTTGTATAAATTATGACTAAAAACCGGTCAAAAGTTTCTGTCTCACTTGAGCATAAATTTAATGTGGCGATGCTTAACTGTGTCACAAATACACCTTGTTGTCCCATTTAATATACCACTTGCTCTCGGTCTCGAGAGTGATTTTCCTTTCGAATATTTATTATATCTATTTGCTGTGCAGCTCAGCCTCTCGCGGATTGAATGGAAAATGGAGTTGAGAGTGTAAATCACTCTGTTGAACGGCTATATTTGCCCGTGTTTATATGATCTGAAGCATGGTGAGAAATAATTAAATAATGCGATACATTGTTGATGGGATTTGGCTAAAGGTTATACAACTGCAGGTTGCAATCGCTCTGCTCGCACTGCTTTTTATCTTTCTAACTCCTCTCTGTGCGTTACAATCGGATGTGTGCGGCTTTGTTGAGCCATGAGGCGTCATGTTATCTAATCAACATCGCACTCTTGTGTTAGAATTAGAAGACGCTCTCTAAGAAAGCTATTTAGTCCAATTTTCTCATTTGTAGAGGAAAAATTCAGACTCTAATTTTTTCAAGCTCTGTCATGATTCAATTTATTTAGTTCTTCACTGAGTAACAATTCTCTCTGGAACACAAATTGATAATGTTGGGAAAACATGTTAATATTATCGACAAACCGTCCTCTTTTTTGAACTCACCACAATTTCCTTCCTATAGTGATTGGCGATTATTAATATTCCCAGTGGCCATTCCACATCAATCGCATGTCGAACATGTATTGGATATGCAAGTATGCTAGTTAGGAATAATTGTGTAACAACTATCGTATAAAATTGGGATTCTGATAGACTAAATGATAGGTCAAAGTTTAAGAAGAGTTTTCATTTAAGCATGGACATCAATCAGATATCTTTCCAGTAATGCTTCCGTAAGGCTAACACGATATAAATTCCATTCCAAAGCCTCTGAGATGAGAAATTAACGCTAAGATAGTTGTAAAACATATTTGGAGATTTATCTGGCATAACGTTTTACTAAACGGACAGAAGATAAGCTTCCATGAGATTTAGGTAAAGACATTGGAATGTTTTGATCACTCGGCAACGCAGTGTTCTTTCGAGAGGAGAACTACACAACCAGGCGCCCCCATCTTGTAAAGTTCCACATCATCGCGTTCCAATTACTGATAGCGATAAATTAAGAAAATCTGATAGGGTTTTCCTATGTGAATTGCCTTCGGAATTTTTCTCAGTGGATGTTTATGTTCATTGTAGCGTGTGTTGTGATAATAAGGAATTATGTGCCTTTCTAGATGATCACTCTCTTTTTCTCATCTGTCGAACGCGTTCCAGAGAGCAAAACACTGGTGTCAAAGGTTACTTCGTATGAAGCAAATTGAATCGGTTTTCCTCTCGCCTCTCCTTGTGAATTGCTAGATGGAAGTTCCATATTGTCTCTATAAATTGAAAATTTCCCTGCACGATTTTTGAAGGTGGCAACAAGCGGCGTGCAGTTTTTGAGCATGAAAATGGGCGATAATTTCCTGGCCTTGTTGGCATTTTTGCGGTTTTTCAACTTGTCAATTTTATAGGTAAATTTGTGTGAGATTCACTTTTATCTGGGGAGAGTTTAGCAACACAACTCACTTTATCGCGAATAGGGATGGAAGAGTGTGATTTTCCAAATGGTTTTAGAGAGACGCGATGTATGGGTGTTTGTTGAAAGTACAGCTAACATTATTATTACAACTGCGTCATGTTGGTGGTGTGCCAAGAGGTTTTGTATTAAATGGGTGAGAGACAGAGCGAGAGAGAGGACGTATGAATTATAATCTGGCCAATGTGCACAAAGTACGTTACCATACCAACCGTTTATGATAAAATAAGTGTAAGAGATATGCCAAGAGAGGGAGAGAGAGAGAGAGTCATATACCTTTTCCCACTGACAATATATACTCTATTTAACATTTTTTATTTGCCATGTGTAATTGTGGTTTGGTGTCGCGACAATTTTATTATTTGTGATGATGCCTTCTGTGTATTTGAATACATGGTGTGTTGTTTGATTCTCATGAGTGTATGAGGGGCGCAATTATGATAAAATATGACATTTTGATACATGTAATGACAGCATGTTGACTCGCGAGAGAGAGACAATTTTTAGGGAAGTGCGTTTTGTTAAAGAAAGTCTTTGGGCTTGCTGGTACTGCTGCCAGTTTTGGAAGTGGTTGAATTGAAGAGAGAGAGATTCAGTTTCTCGAGGCTCGCCGAATGGAGGAGGCCAATCAGCCGAGAGTGTGAGAGATGCAGAAAGATTGTGTATTGTATCGGCAACCAGCCAGAACATCAAGTTTTTGGGCTGTTCGGTGGCGAATGATGATGTGGTTAAATTCTTCTGTATGTACACTGCGATGATCAGTGTTGTGTAAACGTCGTCCGGAATATGTTACGGAATAAAAATGTATACTTTTCGCTTGCGATTATGTTCAGCGAGAATGATGTCTAGCAATTCGCGAATGTATTAAATTTCAGGGGGGAGAGAAAAGGTTTGACTCTCTCGCATTTTCGCGTATGGCGTTTTTCATCGTCAAGGTGTCTATATTAAGTGTATAACACAGAGAGAATTTGGTGGATGAGGCCGGGGCTATTGATAAAGTGACAGAGTGAGAAGACTGCAGAGGAAGAAAATTCCATTAGCCCGGCATCGAGAGTGAGAGGGATATTGATGGGTGAGAGAGTGGAGAGGAAAAGTCCCTGACGTAGGCAATTTTTCGCCAGTGTGTTTGCACGCCGGCGAGAGGAGAAGACAGAAAGAAAGACGTGAAATTTTTCTAGAGCAGCGACAAATGCGCTCACGGCACAGGCGGATTTTCGGTGGTGTTGTATCGTGACGAGAGATGAATGTGTTAATATATCGGCTACTCGGTCGGCGGGGAGAGTGCGTCTGATTGTAATATCTGCGAGTGACTGAGGAGCTCAAGTATAGTGCTATCTCTTTGGGCAGGGGAGTTGCGAGTGAGTGAGATAGTTGGGGGAATTTTGAAGAATGTGTATGTCGCGCGAACTCAAATGAAAATCGTCCATGTCCATGTCATTTCCTCTTTTTCAGCTACCAACCAGACAGAGCTTGTAGAATCGTCAGAGAACACGAGAACCGGGAGCAAGTTCTCTTGCTCGACACATTCATTTATTACTGTATTGTATTTCGCGTCGTGCGGTGGAAAAAGTCGGTCATCATACCAAAAACTCTTGCGGTTGATGCTTTTAACCAGTCGCTAATACGGGAAAAAAATCGTGGATAATTTCTCAATTGTGTAATAATTGTGTGTTCAGTATACTTCTTAATCTCTCTCAATTATTTCAAGACTCTGTGCACAGGACGCTTTTTTGAGTGTTGAGAAAATTGATCAGAATTGGGGGAAATATGTGAAGTTACATGTGAACTTTCTGAGTGAGTTGACAAAATTCTGAAGAGAAAAATAGCTTTGCAAATTACTCTTCAATTGAGTTTCCCGTGTGGATTTCTTGGAGCCATTTTCACTTTCTTGGTGAATAATGAGATTGTAAGTGTTGAACATAGATATAATGTTTGGGTTGAAGATAGAGGCGAAAATATGATAAGTGGTCGTCTATTTGTGGAGGAGAATTGGAGCAAAATTTTGAGTATAAATGTAATTTTCGTCGTTATGTAATGATTAGGAGTTGACCAGGTTTTACATGTGGCAGATATAATTTTCTTCAAGGCAACTGGCAACTCAAGTGATTTTGTTGTATTTGGTTATTACATCACTGTTGTGTGCGCGAATGCGAAAGTATGTACTTCGTCAATATGTGTGCCTCGCGATGGTTCTTCTCATGGAATCGTTCTCTTGTGTCGAATGTCCTCTGCGAGAGAGAAGAAAAAACCCTCCTTTTGCTTGGGATCTTAATGATTACTCTATCAATTGTTTGGCTATTTATCTCTCTGTGTGTTTTTTCTCTTGCTATCGAATGTATTTGACTGGATTTTCGTGTGTTTGCGGGTTTTCTTTTTGTCCGACGATAAAATGTACAATTTAATAAATGTGTACTGTGTAGCCTCCATTTCGTTGCTGATCAAACACATAATAAAAATTTTGTTTATACGCAAAGTGGAGTTGGAAATGTAGAAGAAGAAAAAAATTAATTTTGTTATCATCACCACGTCAAGCTGAAAACGCGCCAGGAATAATGTTTATTATTACACAATTTGTTGTGTGAGAAAACACGGTTGTTTTAGAATTGAATGTGATATATAGATATTGTCCCATCCTGGCAAAATGGAATGAAGGATGAGAGCGTGTAAAATTGGAGTCGCGCCACTGTTGCACAAATCCCGAGAGTGTCATCGCGAAAGTATGTGGATTCATGTGCACAGTGAAACACGAGGCGAAAAAATGCCTGTCTACCATTTTGCTTACAGCTCTCTGCAACTATCAATTGAATAGCTTAATTGGAAAGCTTTCGCACAACTCGCGAAGATGAAAACCTTTTTGGGGTTGGTGTTGCGCCAAGAAGGCAGCAGGGAAGTGTGGTGGGTGACGTGGGAGGAGGCAAAAATGGTGGTCACATGATTAAATATGAATAGAAGTGAGAAAGATGAGGATAGATTGTATGGGAGAATGGTAGACTCGCGCGATATGATGGTGTGATATGATAACGAGCTGCAAAATATCGCGTTTAGCACAATTTTTTCCCTACTTCAGCTCTGCCGTCCAAATAGATTTCTGTCGCAACGTTTGCTGCTTTGATGGGAGACAAATTGAAATGTTCACAGCAATTAATTTCCACATTCTCCTGCAATTTAATTTTCTCTACCCCTCACTTTGGAAATGTGCTGTGAACAAGGGTTGAGACTGTTGTGCAACTTTCAGTAAGTTTACATTGTAGTTTCATATCACAACTGTGAGCAAGCTTTTACCTTGATGATTTCTATTCTCGTATTGCTAATATTGTAAGGAGTGCGATAACGATTTCAAACTGGCTCTAAAAAGATGTGGATAAACATCTGCAATACTAAAATTGTGAGTGAATGAAGAATTTATGGAGTTAACTTAGAATTACAGGATGGACTTTGGGATAAGAACAGAAAGAGACTTTTTAAGTGCATTGCGTTGTGACATAATGTCTGCAAAATTACTGTGGAATATTTCTATATGATTTTTGAAAATTTCTCTTAGTTTTTATTAGTCCAATTACAATCAATTGCGAGATTTGCGTTTCCCTGCAACCAATTTCTCGTCTTGACATAATTTTTTACTTGTCTAGTCGATCATGAAGGTTAGTTGAATAATAAATCCAGCTTATAATCACTCTTCAAGTACTGACAAAAATTACACAATAAGCTAGAGAAGAGGAGAGATTTGATTGTTTGTCCGGAAATTTGTCTCATGAGATACAAATCGTGATAAGTAGCGCATGATATGATGGGAAAATTACTGACCCTTGCTGAGGCTGTGAAAAGACGGGAAAATTGCAATAGATTCAATCCTCTTTTCCGCAGGAAGTGGAGAAATTTTCACAGAGTCGCACAGCTACATATTTCCCCATCTTGTGTCCGCACACAGTCGCTGGCGTCCCTCTGTGTGCATGTTGGTATTGAGTGGTTGCAGATTAGAGCCCGGGTGGCGTGGCCATGGGTGGGTGGGAGGGCAGTAAGTGCACAGAGAGGCAAAGTGTAGGGTTTTCCTCAACGACAGTGAGACTCCATGGGACTAATGGGTAAGAAAATGTTGTATGTTCCTCATGTATGTTGCCATAGTTTTCAATTTTATTGATCCTTCCCATGGAGTGTCTGCGATGAGGAGATGGTGGAGAAAAGTGCTGAAAAAGTGTGGATTACCTCCAGGTTGCCATAACAGTAGCCCGTTGGAGGACTGGAGAGTGTTTCGCTGTGTGAGTGTGGAAATTTTCGCTGTGACCTGCAAATTGCTAGGCATCCTCGCTGTCTTTAGGTGATTCTGCGTTGTGAGTAGGTGCAACTGATGATGCCCACTCTTCGATTGACTCGTGTGTTCTTTGAAAATCAATAGGGCGAGAGTGAAAGAGGGAGGCTAAAAGTGATTTGTCTCAATTGTGTTATAAAGTCACACTGATTACACGATGCTTAACAGCCTTGTTTTATTTTTATCTCCTCGATTTGCCACATGATATCAGGAGAGCACGAGTTGTCGAGATTGTGTGAGGGGGTGAAATGCCTGCATTGGCTTTCTAATTGCTCATGAGAATCATGGTGGGAAATTGGGTTAGCACACAATGTCTGGGGTCGATGAGTGAGTCCGAGGGAGTTGTGCGCGGGGATGAATGTTGAAATTTCCATGGATAAAACTTTGATGTAAGTTTTCGGTATGTTATTCAATTTCAATGTAGTTTACGTGTGGCTTCGGCGTGTGTACACCTTTCAACAAGGAGTTGTGCGAGAGCGAGTGAGAGAGAGAGAGAGACGGTGATGTGTGTATAGGGGAATTGGGTCAGGTGTTCAACTGACACGATACACAACTCCACCTTGAAAATCTATCGACCAAAATGAGTTTTCATTATCACGAGTTCAGTCACAATGTAAGATGTGTGTGCAATAAAAAATGTGGTGAGATGCGGTAAAAGTGTGACTGCTAATCAGATGGGATTTCAATTGGGATTCAGTCTTTCATTGGGCATTGCTGGAAATCCAATTCATTCTCTCTGCTGTCGGATCGCTGCTTTTCCCACGTCACACGCCAGGCGGCTCCCTCTGCGAGCTTTTCCACCTACAGTGTGTGCGACAGAGCCGGCAGTATTGTGGCGTCGCTCAGTTGGGGCTTTCCATAAATGCGTCGCGAGTCTCCCGAGTATCGTCGTTGGCATGGTAACGGCATTTGGACGCCTTCATTATCAGTATGGTGCGCTACCGAGTGGCTCTCGAGCTCTTTTTCTTCACGTCTTCTGGGCTGCTTTAAAGAGAGTGTGTGGCATAAATGAGAGGAGGAAGAAAAAAAGCCTCTATCATGACAAAGTGAATAGATTTTGGTTGAGTGAGAAAGAGCTATTTTGTGTCCAAGACCGCATTTGCTATCAGGAGAAGAAAAAATGCCACAAAAACACACCTCAGCGGCAGGCGCGGGTTTTTAAGCTCGGCAAGGGGCGGAGAAGGACACAATTTCAGTGTGAAAGAGATGTTATTTTGCAGAGTGTGTGGGAGTGAATTTGTTTGCACTATTATGCTTTCATTCTGATCTCATCCTTTTTCCTATCTTCTCGGCACAGTCGCCTTTTCTCTCTCTCCCCTTTCCTATCTCGCATCGCATGTTTCCTCACGAGTGCCTAATGATGATGTAGGAAAAATTACACATACCATCAGTGCGTGGTTCTTGTGGGATCTGCGTGAATGAGAGGCGAAATCACCGCTTTCCGGGTTCTAAATTAGACACTCACAATTGTATCTTTCGATTGATACATTTAAAATAGGGAATATTACTGGGGCAAGAGAACCGCACTCACTGCACTTACATACATTCACTCAAAGGGTTATGCTTTTCATTCAGATATATTTAGATTTGAAATTTTTTCAAATGATATTATTATGATCATTTGTGCGACATCTAAAGGATATCTAAAAATTAGTCTTGAAACATTCACACGTTATTCGTCAAGAAATCGACAGAAGGATACTGAAACATGACTTTATTGGTTTATGAATGAGCATTTTGTAAAACTCTATAAATGATTCTCAATCGCAAAAACACCCAGAAGTGGTAAATCGAGTGTTTATCAAATGATATACATTCACAGACTCGGAAAGCACTCTTACAAACTGCTCCAAATGTGTTATTGGGCAGAAGAAGTGCTGCTTATTGAGGAGATATAATGTATTTTTCAGTATGGCTTGAGCCTTGAAGGATGCTGAGCTATTTCAGGATTATAAGCATCTGAATGGGAGGCGTATTACAGGAGAAATATGCAAATGAAATCGTCTCTGAGCAGCCTATACACAAGCTGTGTGTGTGTAGTTTATAAGCGATGAAATCACATATGAGTTGCTGCCTCGGAAAATTCTATTTAAACTCTCTGCTCTGCTGGTCGGCGGAGGAGAAATGCCATAATCTGAGATGACGTCACAGAGTTATCCCACGCTCTGACGTCACCGAGGACTGCGGAGGCTGTGGCAAAGAGAGAGATGATTCAGTGGTGTGCAGATATGAGATTCTGGGTACAATCAGCACCTCATTTGACGTGCGGCAGGAAAGCCAGCGCAAGAGAGCTTTCCTGTGGATGAGCTGAGGATTTTCTGTCGAGTGGCGGGGAGACATTAGAGAAAATATGTGTGTAATAAAATCCCGGGGATTTTTTTCATCAAGGCGTCGTGAGGAAAATCGATTTCACCCCATTGATTTGGAGGAGGATTGTTGACTGTGGCGCAAAAGTGGGTGGGACTCGGTGAAAAGAAGTCAATATGGAAAAGTTTATTATAAGTCGCACTTTTTTCTGCCTCCCTTGCCACAATCGCTATTTCTGGCTGGGGCGAGAGAGGAGAGTATTGATGGGGGAGGGAAAGGGGTAGGTCTCGCTGGGGAGTGAAAGAGGACGCACATACTCCAAGAAGACTGGCTTTTGTGTGGGATGTGAGCAGAGGCACACTCTCGACAATATCGTTTCCATGGTTTCAGCTGTTTCCATCAATTATGACCTTCTCATTTTCCATGCAGCGCGCGCCTTTCCTCATCACATTGTCACCCCGTCGTCCTGGTGCTGCTGCTAGAGCAGCAGTTGACTTGGAAACTATCAGTGTTCCGGACAACTGGGCATCTCGGCAAGTCGAACCCTCCAAAGAATTGTTAACAAGGTGTCTTGGCAAAGGGAAGATTTGCGAGTGAAGCCGTAAAATTGAGTGGTAGGAAGTGAAAATTTCCCCTTTTGTGGCACTGATTTAGCTGGAAAAAAGAAAAGATTATGCCAGAAAACAAGTGGATAAGCGTTGGTTGTGTTCGATGTGTGTTGTGTTGTATGTGGAGAGAGAATGCATTAAAATTGGTGTGACCTGATTTTTTTCTCTCTCGCTCTGGCTAAAGGCAAAACTCGAATGATTGGCAATGTGTGTGCTTGATTTGTACGTGGTCCACAGTGGAGAAAGTGGAAGTAATTTTCGATTAATTTCCTTGCGATGAGAGACATTCGAGTAATTTCTGATGCAATAGGGTGTCAATCTGACCTTTTTCCCTCATCATCTTTTTGCAGAATGTCACCTGAAAGGCCTCCATCGCAGGATGGTGGTCCAATGTTGGAATCACCAAACTTAATAATGTCATCAATGCCGATCGAGTCGAGCCATGTGATCCTCCAGCAGCACATTCAGTACAGCAATCCGGGGATTGGCGGTGGCGGCGGCGGCGGAGACGGAGGGGGTGGCGGCGGCCACATTGTGATAAATGGAAATGGTGTGGCGACAGGAAGTGGTGGCAGTCGGAGTGTTAATGGCCAGGGAACAGTTGCCGTGGAGCAAACGGGGTCTTCCAAACTATTGGTGCTACAGCAGACCAGTGACAATTACATTGCTGCAAGTGAGTATCACTGCCTGCCTAGACTAGACTTCCCCTATCAGCGATGTAGACTGAGGGCTAATGAGTGCTTGTTCTTTGCAGCTAATGAGAATAATGGTGTTGGAAATATTGTGCTGCTGGCGACGGAACAGATGGAAATCAATCCGGGCGATCACAATGGGATTGTGACGTCGGCAAATGGTGGCGATGAGGAGTTGACGCCGCTGACATGGCTTCACAACAAGGACCTCCTCAAGGGAATCAATCTCTCGTGTGCAAAAGTTCAGGCGAGCAATGACACGCTGATGAAGCAGAGCGCCGGTGCCATGTCGCCTACAAGTGACTTCCTGGAGGACTCGTGTATATCTGAGGACAACACGTCATCTATTGTGTCCACCTCGGATCAGAGCATTGGGATTTACAGCACGGAAACATCACCAAAGTTGTACATAAGTCCCAACAACAACAATAACACCATTAACAAGAATCGCAATCACTTGTCAACATCAACGAGGACTTCGACGATTCAAGTGAGTCCGGGCGGTACGACCACTGTCATTGAATACCACTCGAGTGGGAAGCAACAGAATGGTGTGGGTGCGACAAGTGGTGGTGCTTCCACCTCGACGTCCAGCACCACCACTACCTCGACGCCCCATCAACATTTCCACAAGAAGTATCTGCGTGAGGAACACGTGAAGACGCTGCGACAGAGCCAGAACGACTCGGGATTCGTGTCACCCACGACAGTTGGGCAGTACGAGAGCCATCAGCAGCAGATTGTCACTCCACCGCAACCGGTTTCGCCGCTCAGGCATCGCGGAAGCGGCAGCGGTCAGCATGGGCAGAAGACACCTCTCGCCACGACTCCATCGAAGCTGAAGCACCCCACGAATCAGCCCTACGATCCACAGGTGCACACCACCAATAAGCCACCGTTCAGCTTCAGCTCCCTCATCTTCATGGCCATCGAGGACGCTTCCGAGAAGGCACTGCCCGTGAAAGAGATCTACGCGTGGATCGTGAAACACTTTCCCTACTTCAAGACGGCTCCGACTGGCTGGAAGAACAGCGTGCGCCACAACTTGTCGCTCAACAAGTGCTTCCAGAAGGTCGAGAAGGCTCCGGTGAGTTGAACTGTCTCTTTGACCAGTTGAATGAGAGATTAATGTGCTGTGATTGTGTTGCAGAACATGGGAAAGGGATCTCTGTGGCGTGTGGAGCAACAGTATAGGCAGAACTTGATTCAGGCACTCACTCGTTCGCCTTTCCATCCATTTTCAACCTTTGACAAGACTGTGTACAAGACTCAGCAAGGGTCAAATGACTCCTCCACTATCTCTAAGGTGAGTATTTTCTCGCATTTGCTGGCGACTTTTCACGGCTTCGAATGTTTATTTTTGGATCACTTCAGTTTACACACAGTTTGCATCCTTTGCAGCAGAAAAAAACAGACAATAAGTTTAAAATAGAAGACGCTCTCGTTGATATTTTAGAGTTGTCCCCGTTTAGCAATTTATTGAATATTATTTCCTCTCTTTGCTGAAGTCATCGGGTGGACGTCCATTGAATGCCTCTCTCACGCCTCGCCTGAACAAATTCATGGCCGAACTCGATGCGCCGCCAGAGCCGCCGGCGAGTCCGCCGATTGAGGATGAGTATCGTCACTTGACGTCGTACAGCTATTATGAGAACGGCACCAACGCCATGCTCAATGTCCTAGTCAACAGTGAGAATGGCGGGAGTGCCACGAGCAGCAACAGTGGCAGTCCGGAGAAGATCGTGCGGGACTGGAGCGCCGACAGCAGTATCGAGGATGTTAATGCTGCCACGGCGATGCTGGCCCTCAAGCATGGGCCCAAAGTGTTCTCTGAGAGCTATCAGAGCGGGTATGTATTTTCTAGCTAAAAGTTGTGCGAAAGAAACGCTAAATTGGATAACAAATAGTTTTTATGACACGGAAATTTATGTCCTGCAAGTCATGCACTTTGTTACACAATTACTTGTATTTATTTAAACATGAATGTTTTGGAAAAATCAGACAAGATGTTTCGCAGTGGATGATTGCTTTGACATTCTTAAGAGATGACCTTTGAGTTAACAAACCGTGTTTTCCAGGCGTCCAGTGATCACGTCTTCACCGAGTGAGGATCACACGTACTCAGCTGGTGGGAATAACAATGGCACAGCGTCGGGAATCGGCAATTTGTCAGCGAACTCATCCAACAGCAACAGCTTGGACAACACGAGCAACGGCACCTCCTCGGATGCTGCCTACGAGAGCAGTGAGGAAAGGTGAGAGATTGCCTCTGTGGTGTTTGCGCCCAGTGAGCTAATGTTGTTTGTCTGTGCAGTCAAATGACATCACGCGCTCAGGAGGAGCTCGAGGAGCAGCGCCGCAAGGCGGAAGGTGTGGATGCTCTGCTGAATTTGGCCGGCGTGTCACTGCCATCCACCGCACCCATAATGCTGAAACGCTCCTCGGTGGACAATCAATATCACTACCAGACATCATCGACGGACGCAGAGACGCCGCTGTCGTCGCCATCGCCGTCGAAGCGCTCCAAGCAGCGGCCGATTCGCAGCAAACTCAAGAAGAAGGCGGCGTGGTTGCGGTAATATCAGATGCATCAAGAGCTACTAGGTAGTCTCGAGTAGGGAAGAAATTGTGTTGATTTTATCCTTTCTTTCGCATCTCTTCCAACTATTTTTTACAATCATGATAATCTATTAGTTGTCGTGTAGTGGAGAAGGATTGATAGGAGTTCTGTTTTAACCTCTAGTTGACGTGTAATAGAAGATGCATATAAATTATCATAGTTGCTAAATAGTGTAACCACTTACACCACAGCTCTGTGCGCGATGATGGAGAAATTCTCAGATTCTCCAGTGAGAGAGCGAGAATAGAGAAGAAGCACTTAAGTGGATCAATGCAAGATGAGAAGGAAAAAAGTGTTCTGTAAAGCAATTTTTCCGTGTTGGCTTTGTTGAAAACTGACTATGGCGAGAGGAGATGAGAGTTGCATTAAATTACCAATATACTATATATTACACTATATATTAGAATTATTAATAAATATGTTTACAAGACAAGAGAGTCCAACAAAAGTAGCTATATAAACAACAAATTGAAGCAATATGAGCGACGTAGTTGGTGTTACTTTGCGAGTTATGCGATGATGCGAGACTTCTTTATTTCTCAAAATTCACACAAACACTCTATCGAGATTGCTTTCCAGACTTTCGATCAATGTCCTGTTTTCGAGATGCAAGTACAAAGAAGAGTGAGCGATAAAAGGAGGGTAGATTTTTTCAAAATTCAACCGCGATGAAGCATGCAATTGTTGGGCAAAGAGAGAGATAAAAACACTCTGAAGAAAGGGAGTATTTTAGGAATTAGCGACAAGAGATACGTATAGAAAGTTACTTGAAGATTCTGTTGAGTTGACTTTAAAATACATTATGTTGTTTGAACTTGTTAAATGTTAGCGAAATTGTCACACTTGATAAGGTATAAAAAGATGGGGTGGGAAAATAGGGGGAGAATAAAGATGAATTTCACGCTTCTCGTCTAACAAAATGTGAAACAACAATCAATGCATTAAGCAAAAAAAAGGGAGTGAAAAAGGTACATTGAGCATGAAATATGGATATTTTATTACCTTGGAATGAAAACAAATCGTGAGATTAGCGAAAGAAAGTGTGTTTTAAAGTAGTGTGATGGATACAAAAAAAAAACCGTAGCTGAGGACAAACAGTGAAAGAGTATGAGAAAAGATACTGAAGACGACATATTTTTGATGATAATAAATTATAAATAGCACACACAACACATTTAAGAAATGAGAAACAATGGTAGTAAATATTTACGCCAAAGTAATTTGCTTATCTAGTGCTTTTACTTTTAAGGGAGAAAAAGAAAAATCGTATACAAGATTGCGAGAGGAAATCAGTTTTATGACGAGAACATGACGAACAATGGAGTAGAGAAAATTTTTAAACAATGTTACCAAATTCTAAAGAAAGAAAAACTATTAGCGCTTTCCTGTTACACACGTGAAGAAAAAAATATTGATAAATGATATTTAGTGAGTCGCGAGATGGGAAATTGAGGTGATTTTTTGTCAGTAGAGCTTTTCTTTCCTCAACAATGAAAAGAAAAAGGCGAGAGCGAAAGTTGTGAAGGAAAGACACACACACAATCACATAACTTGTTAAAAGCAATATTATAGGAAAGGAGGTTTTGTGTGATGATTTTCTCTTTCCACAAATCTTCTCTCGGGCCTTTTTATTGTGAATCAACGTGAGATTCCTTTCTTAAGCTGGCTTTCATGGCATTTCACAGCGCGCGTTATTTTCTTAATGTTTCTTCAAAATGTGCCAAATGCTTGATTTTGATTTGATTGAATGTGTTTTTATTTGTTTTAAACATTCAGTAATGCAATCGTGCATCTTACAATGGCATTATCCGCTAGTTCAGCATTTAGTGCCATAATTCTTATTCGTATTTCGACCACAGAATTGTATAAAAAAAAAGAAAATCGATGGAAAATGCTTAGTCACTTCACTACCTCTTCCCTTTGATGATTTATTTTTGCCTGATTTCTGCCCCTCAAACTGTCTTCCAATCTTCAACAATTAGGATATGCTAGAATAGTTAAGAAATGAATGTTGTTGCTGTTTCCATTTTTATTAGATATTTTTTTTGATTTCTTATCTCTCAGAGGAAAACAATGAGTTTAATTCGGCTGCAAATGCTTCTCTCGATGCACGTTAGGAAAAAAGAACTAATAAACGAAAGCAATACAGTAGCAAAATGTTCAGCGAATAATTGGTATAGATTTTATGGTTTTTCCTTGATTGGTTAAATGTACGCCTTTTTCTTCCACACAAGACAGAAAGGGAGAGAGAGAGACAGAGAGAGAAGAGTAAGGAAATTTGATTGAGAAGAAAGATCACTATCATTAGCCGTTAATACTTATTATTAATATTGATTCTAAGAACCTTAAATATATTCATACTATGTATATTATGAGAAAATATTACTATAAGAAATCAAGTGAAGAAGATGAAAGATGGGGAGAAAATGATGAAAACTCTTATAAAGTCGCTACCACTATTAAATTTTATCAATTTTAGAGTTTAATAAATGCCTTTTTCCTGTAAGTGAATCCCAATATGGAGGAAGAGAACATTTTGTGTGAGAGTTTTAGCGGTGGTCCGGGTGAGAAGATGTTTTATTTAATAGATTGAGCGATGATGAGGTTGGGAATGTAACAATTCGAGAGCGAGGAACCACTTGAAGCAAATATTAAATTAACTTTGAAGACATTCAACGTCTTGTGTCGTCTTTTCTCAGTCGCAAGTCCACTTCTGCGTTGCAAATCTGGTGACTAAACACTTCCTAACAGGTATAATTTGTATGTATGTACATAAATTATAGTGGAATTGCGAATCATGTTGCCATGGTTGTGTGGAGTGCGTAGAGAGTGTAGAGACTTTGCTTCCCACCCATTCATCCTCGGTAGTATAGTGGTCAGTATCCCCGCCTGTCACGCGGGAGACCGGGGTTCGATTCCCCGCCGGGGAGGATTTTTTTTCCTCTTTTTAATTTAGCTTTTTGGGCGGCTGAGCGATTGATATTCTGAGAAGAAGACAAAGAAGGCGCAGGAATACCAAAAATATTAATAAATAACCAATTTTAGCAATAGAATAGATCGATTTATTTGTGCAATTTCGGCGTGATTCATCACATTTTTAATATCTCAATTGGTAAAATTAATTAATCCAATGGAAGTTGTAAAATACAATTTATGTTTCATGTACAATAATCCCCTTAATTTTTCTATATCATTTTTGGTCAGAGCCAAGAACGTAAAATCTGCGTGCAAAAGCTAAGATTTTCTTGTAACCTTCTACGGTAATTTTGGAATCAAAATCATATCAGACCTTGTGAAAAGAGGAAAAGACCATGTAGTTAATGTTACATTTAGTGACTAAATATGCTAAAAATGCTCAATTTTTTCGTGTATCATTCACAAATACCCCGAAACGCGTTTTCATATAGAAATTTGAGTAATATCAACAAATATTTAAGAATTGAAGACTTATACAGCATACCTATTTCCCTCATTATACGACAAATCTCTTTTTTACGATTTTTTAGTCGTTTTGATCACTTTTAGGGTTCATAAAATAGCTCAACAGTTAATCCGCTTAACCGAATGTAACACAGTTTATTATCTATCAAAACATATTCTACAATTCATTCCTGATTGAATTATCATCATCAGCCGCGTGATGGGCTCTCAAGCGGCGCCAAAAGTTGATTCTCTCCTCGAACAAACCTCTCTCCATGCTCGCCAAGGACTTCTCTTCGTCGTCCATCCTTCCCAGGCGCAGATAGTCCACGGGATAGCCCTTGGCCTCCTTCCAGCTGAAGGTCAGACCACTGCCTTTGGGCGTGGGATGGCCAGTTTTGGCGAAGTTCACCCAGAGCTTCGTGATGAGTTTTCGCATCTTGATGTCATTCTGCGTGGGAACGGCGCTGACAAAGAGCTCTTTACCCACCGGAAAGAGATACTGGAGCTCCTCAGCATGGCAAACGCCGTAGTACTTCTCTCTGCCGCCTTTGAAGATCTCCGTGAAACTGGCCGATCCCTTGTGGGCGAACAGGTAGACGAAAGTTGGTCCTCTCTTTCCCTGACTCTGCGTGAGTCTAATCCTGAGATATTCATCGAAGCCCAACACAAACCATGCGTCCGAGTAGAGATTCGTGAGATTTTGGCTCGTTTCGGGCGTGAGTTTCCTGTTCTTGAAGTAGAATTCGTTGATGGCAGAAGTGATTTCCTTCTGGCGAGACAAAGAGTGATGATCGTAGTTGAGCGAAATGGGAAGGGCGTGATCCCAGTTCTCGTTGAGGCTCTCAGTGAGTTCTGGCACGTTGATCAGAGAGGCACTCTTGAGGGCACCCTCATCCATGGTCACTCCCGACATCCAGGGCAGCGAGAGTCCGTGCGGCTGCATTTCTTCGCGCGGATGCTTCGTTATGAAGGCCTCCGGATGATCGGGCTCCACCACAGGCACGAAGGGAATCATTGGATCGGTGTCCCATTCGAAAAAGTCGTAGAACTTCTCCGTGATCTCATCAGCTGACTTCTTTCTCAGGCACTCCATTAGATTTTCGCTGCCTTCGCATCCCAGCATCTCGCCCAGGCGCTCTGCTCGCTTTTCCGCCACTCCTTTGTGCGCTGGCTGTGCCCAGGCGCAAAGATTGGTGCCCGATTGACTGATGACTCTGTGGAAGAGTCCTCTGGTCTGAGGAGACATCATCATGTACGTGCCAGAAGCTCCACCTGCGCTCTCGCCAAACACCGTCACGGAATCGCGATTGCCTCCGAAGCCAGCAATGTTCTGCTGGATCCACCGCAGCACAAGGACTTGATCCTTCAGACCGAAGTTTCCAGGACACTCCAGAGTGCCTGTGCTGAGGAATCCCAGCGGCCCAAGGCGGAAGTTCGCTGCCACATACACAATTCGGTGTTCCATGAGGAAGTCAGGACCGTAGAAGGAACTGATTCCGCTGCCACACTGCCAGCCGCCCCCGTGGAAGAAGACCATCACGGGCAGCACTTCGTCCTTCTGCACGCCTTCAGGAGCGTAGACATTGAGGTAGAGACAATCCTCGCTGCCCCACACCTCGTTGTCCCGACGATAGGGATCTCTCTGTGTGCAAACGGGCGAATCGGCGACTGTCTGGCGCTCTCCTGACCAGCCAGACTTGGCGACTGGGGCCTGAAATGAGAGATAAAAAGACCTGTTCAAAGAGAAAACCAAATCCGTCCATCATTTGAAAGTGAAATGTTGCATTTCACGCCTCATTTTGCTCTCAACTTATTGGCTCTGAAAAAACTCAAAACTTTTGCACATTTGAAATGCAAACGAGAAATTTAATTACAGATACTTTAATGTTGAGGAAAAAACGGTGTCACTCCGCAAATGAAATGCAATTTGCAGCTGAAGAGTCAGTCAAGGCTGCTTTGTACTCACGCGGAATCTCAGGCTCCCGAGAGGCGGCTCGGCGTATGGGATGCCCATGAAAGCCCTGATGCCGATGCCGTCGTGAGACACCAAGTGGCGCCCCACGACGACTCCGCCGTGGCTCAGTTTCACTCTCAGCTCATCGGAAGTGCGTGCATCGCTGCCGCGCAGCACCGCGAGGGCGCAGAAGAGGGCGAGAGCTAATCTCACGATCATCGCTGGAAGCACAAAGACGAGGAAGACTTCGAAGCTCACACCTTGACGGACTGAACAAGACTAAAATTGCGTGTCTCACAGATGATTTCCACATGAGAGAGCCGAATATCCAGCGGAAAAAGCACACATATTCAGAGAAACTCGTTTCGCGGAGCATTTGAATGTGTTAGGAAAAATATATTGGGTAATTAATATCTCGCACTCACTGCCAAATGCGTCTCCAGTGCACCGATGCTGATTACCCGCAACTTCCACGCTAATTGATCATTAATCCTCTGATTTATGCACTCTATGGAAATCAGTGATGGTGACGATGATCAGGGCTTTTCCAGATCTCCGCATTTATGATTTTAGACAACTTTCGAGGAAAAATCCGAGTAAACAACATCATTGCGTCATTGAGTGCTCGCGATTAATTTAGTGTTTTCATCATAGTCTAGAATCTCTGCGTTATCATAAGCAATTTTCTCCCACGATCATCACGTCGGTAATTTCTTATCAGCTGCAAGCGATAATTGATCAGCTACTCATCGTTATATTTTTGTGAAAACCAGAAACACGCAATATTTCGTGTTTCGTTATGCTTTGGTGTCTAGGATAACATGTACCCAATTTCCTCACCATTCCCTCTTATTTTAGACCAAAAGAGCCATCTAGGGAGAAAATATTGCCATCATGACACTGTCATTTCTCTTATCTGCGTGGGAAACACCAATAACTCACTAGTCGACGGACCATTCTGACGATTGTCCTACGTCAAGCATTATTTTGATGGAAAGAAATCTGGAATTTTGACTAAATTTCAATATGAAATCTGAAAAATTCGAAAAATCATACAAATTCTCTATAAAATTTTGTAAAATCCGGGATTTTAGTCATTTGACCATGTCAAAACGAATTGTTTGCAATACAAGAGAATAATTATTATTGCTTTTTTCTAGAATAAATAAGTGTTGCATTTGATATAATAGAACTTGTAAATCTTGGAAATTGGAATTCAATAAATTCCTCGTTAAGCAATTTGCGTTCGTTCGCCCTTCGTGCATTCGCCGCTTCTCGGCTGTCTGACATTGTGTCGCGACAAGGCGAGAGATCGCGAGACTCCGAGTGGAGTGGCGACGCGAGTTTTGTGGGGCAGCGAGGCGACCAGAAAGACAAGTTCCGAGTTTTCCAAGCACACTTTTGAGAGCAGTCGGAGCTCCACGGCAATTTACTGTTTCGCCAATTCAGTACACTCGCTCGATGTAATTATACTAAATGCGATCGCGAAGGCTGAATGAGTCACCGCGCGAGTGAAAAAGAAAAATCGTGTGCTTGTGTTGAAATCTGCGACTGTGATTTCTTGCACTCTTTTCGTGCCTCTTTGCAGAGATTTCGTGGTGGAATCTTATCGAGTGTTTAGTGTAGTTGGTGGAGTTTCTCGGGTGACAAAAGGCGAGGAGGAAGTTTGGAATTGACGCGATAAATTCAGTGGAATTGCGTTGTGTGCAGCGCTTGTGTGTGTGCGATGTCCGGAAGAGCCCGTGAAGTGAGGAGTTGCGACGGAGAAGATGCTTGAGACTTGCCGAATACAAGGACTTGTCAGCTAAAAATAGCCACACGTCGCTTGGTCAGTGTCTCTTGGCCACTTCGGTTGCAGCGCTTTTGGAGGTTAGTCTCACCTGCCAGTGTATCGATTCAACAGTGGCGGACGCGAAGGACGAGAGACAAGAGCAACTTGGTCACCGTGAGTCACAACTCCGCGACAGAGTTGAATGACTTCTTTCGCCTCTGCCTGTCTCTCCGCTTCGCATCTGCCACAGGAGATTCAGTGATTGATACTTTGGCCATTCCGCACCTCATCGCTTCTCTTTTGCCACTTCGCAGGCCCCGCGAGTGACTGCAGGCCGTCCAGATGGAGGAGAAGCGCGTCGCGGACTACTTCGTGGTGGCGGGAATGCCGGAACAGCCGCAGCTCCTGCAGGAGAACAGATTCAACGACAGCGGCCACCTGAAGTCCGTCTCCTCGACGGATCCCATTATCGACATTGGGGTGTTTTTCCCCGCCCACGGCGAGAAAGTGCCTCGCGGCTTCGAGATTCTCGAGTATACGCCCACAGGACTCTATGCTGACCTCAATTTCGGCTCCGTGCGCACCACTGCGTGCTTCATCTACTTCCGGCGCGGCCGGAACAAGCCGCCACTCGTGGACATTGGCGTGATGTACGACGGAGCCGAGCGAATCATGCCGGACGCAGAGATTGTGCTGCAGACGCCCGGAGAGCGCTTAGCCAATGTGAACAACTCCTCGGCGAAGACTTTCCTCACCTTCCGGCGCGCGCGGGCTGACATGCCCTGCAACGAGCTGGTGGTGACGGATCTGTGCGTGATTGTGCCGAGCAAGGGCGAGCGTCCGCCGCACGCCTTCTGCCAGATCCACAAGACCCTAAACAAGGGCATGATGGGCAGCGACGTGTACCTGTGCTACAAGAAGTCCATGAACAGGCCGCGCCACATCAGCTACCAGCCGGAGATCCTGCACAGATACCCGGCGGCGGACCACAACGACTTCCCACTGAATCTCTGCCCGAGCGTGCCTTTGTTCTGCCTGCCCATGGGCAGCTCTCTGGAGGTGTGGCCGCACGCCGTTGAAGAAAGCGGACGGCGGCGGCGCGCCCCCATCGCGCCCATATTCAGCACCTTCGTTCTCACCGTGTCTGATGGCACGTACAAAGTGTACGGATCGGCGCTGACCTTCTACGAAGATTTCCCGTGCGAGAGTCTCACGGCGGAACAGAAGGAGTTGCTGGAGTGGAACGAGGAGATGGCAGACACACACACACTCCATGCGAACAAATCCATCTGCCTGCTGTCGCATCATCCCTTCGGTGACACGTTCGAGAAGTGGCTGCAGTTCCTCCAGGTGAGAGCGGCAAATTCACTCCGTGGCGACACAGAGATAAGACACGAAATCCCCCACCAACTCAATTAATTTAAATATTACGACAATTCTCCTGGATTAGATTAGTCTCTCTCAAATATTATTCCGCGCTGGCAAACAGTTGATATCTTATCGGAATGCTAATGATTGAATTTCACGAATTCACGGTGTTTATTTATTTGCAGCAAATGGCGACAAACGGGAAAGCGATGGCGGTGCCCATTGAGAGGTACATTACTCAACTGCTGGACGAGGTACCATTCCCCTCGCCCAGCATTCTCCTGCAGCTGTCCACCGTCAGCAATGATCGCATCCTCCTCACGCAGCCGGAGGACTCTCCGTTGCCGCGCAGCGGCGCAGGCTTCAGACAGCTCCTGGCCAATCTGGGCCCTGAAAACTGCCTTCACGTGCTGTTACTGGTCTTGACGGAGCAGAAGATCCTCATCCACTCACTCAGACCGGCGACTCTCACCGCTGTGGCCGAAGCTGTGGTGACTCTGCTGTTCCCCTTCAAGTGGCAGTGTCCCTACATCCCGCTCTGTCCGCTGGGACTCGCCGAAGTGCTGCACGCTCCTCTGCCCTACTTGATTGGTGTGGATTCGCGTTTCTTTGACATGTACGATCCGCCAAATGACGTGACGTGTGTGGATTTGGACACCAACAGCATCAGCGTGTGTGAATCCCAGAAGCATCTCACCACAAAGATCCTGCCGAAACGACCGGCGAGGATTCTGAAGCAGACACTGAAGCATCTGGAAGAGGTGAGTCAGTGCCCGAATCAGAACAGCACAAACAGCCTCGATCGGGACTTCAAGAAGAAAAAGCGCGAACAGAATCTGGAGCAGAGGATTCAAGAGGCTTTCCTGCGCTTCATGTCGTGCATCTTGCGAGGCTACAGAGATTATCTGGTGCCCATGTCTAAGGCACCAACGATTGGCGCCACAGATCCCAATGCGCTGTTCCAGCTGAGCGCATTCCTGCGGTCGCGAGACAAGGCGCATCACAAATTTTTCCAATTGCTCATGAAGACGCAGATGTTCATTCGCTTCATCGAGGAGCGGTCTTTTGTGTCGGACGGGGATCAAGGACTGGCATTCTTCGATGAGTGCACGGAGAAGGTGGGTGTGTACGAGGACACGCCCACGGAGATCAGGCTAGTGGAGTGGGACAGCGGGCACAGCAGCGAGAGGACAAAGTTCATTCTGCCACCCGAATGCCAACCGGGCGCCACGAATGGCATGCAGACGTTCATGTATAGCACTTTCACGCTCAATCCGGCACTACTAAAGCACTCGAAGAAGACACACCTGACGAATTTTGCTCAAATGCATGCTCACGTGACACCCGGATCGCCCATGGCGCGCCGCACGAAGCACGAAATCAAGGCGGCGCAGAAGATTGCGAGGAAGAGTGCTCTCAACCCGGAATCGTGGGCGAAGCATCTCCTGGCCACTTGCTACAGCATCTACTTCATCATCCTGCCCAGCGTGGTGACGGACAATCCGGGCAAGGAGCACAGTATCCTGCGGGCAGCGTACGATCTGCTGGCCAAGGCGAGCAAGTTCAAGATCCAATGCGATGAGGTGTGCTATCGCGTGATGATGCAACTCTGCGGCATCCACAATCTCCCCGTGCTGGCCGTGCGTTTGCACTATTTGATGAAGCGTTCGGGCGTGCAGGCAAACGCCCTGACGTATGGCTTCTACAACAGATGCGTTCTCGAGGCTCAGTGGCCATCGGACTCGACAACCTTGAGCCAGTTGCGGTGGAATCGATTGAAGAACGTTGTCTTCGGGGCGGCGCAGTTTCGCAAGGCGGGCAAGAAGTTCCAGTCGCGCAAGAAGCTCTCGACGTCCTGCGAGAACAATCTCAGCACACTCGAGACAGTGGACGGAACGTCGCGGACGAGCCTGGATTCCGCGCACTCCACAAATGAGCCACAGGCGAGCACATCCATTGACTTCACTGCATTCGATCGCCTTCGCGGGCGCCTGGGCAGCATTGTTCGGCAGTCTGGGCCACAGGAGCCGGCGGATGTGCTATCCAGCGCGGGGTTGTTGATCTCCGGCGAGGGCGCCAACAAGTCGCCGAGCCCCAACAAAGAATCGCCGGTGTTTAAGCCCTCGCCGTCGAGCCCGTGCGATTTGAGCCCACGCATGCTGGCAAAATCCGACAGCTTCGCTGGGGATTCCGGTCTCATTGATAAGCTGAACAGCAAGACAAGGCGAGTGCTCAATTTCCAAGTGGAGGAGGAGGAGATCGAAGATAAGCAGCTGAGCTCGCAAGAGGAGCTCAACGATGACGAGGACAACAAGCAACAATCCAGTCCGACCAAGTGAGTGTGATTCCACGTATAATTCCATCATAACTGATATTGATTTCCGGTTAATCACTTACTTTGAATCAATTGCTAGCCAAGTTTCCTAAGAATGCTGAATGGTTGTTTATTATTAATGTCGCTTTATTAAGTTAAGACAACGATTTCATTGGAAATGCGTGGTGTCGCTGAAGATTTATAGGGGAAAGCAGGGCTCATCTAGTAATTTAAATTTATCAGTATATTGTACTCTTTTCTAAACTGAATTTTCAATGGCTTTTATGATCATTCATGAATATTTTTTGCTTGAATGTCTTGAACATTGAGTAAAATGCCCGACAATCTTCTATAAAGATATCATCATTGCATCGTAAAGATGAAACTCTCCCAACGTTCGGAATGTTATTAGCAGATTAACAACATGCCAATAAAGAGAGGAAGTGTTCATATCGGACATCAATTTATCTCTTCCAGCCAAGAAAAGTTGTTCTGCATCATTTCGAAGGCTGATTCGCTTTTTGCATATTGATAAAAGTTGCGCCGAACACATTTCCGCGTGGCTTTAAAGCGCAAAACATTGATAAAAGAGTCGAGTGGAATTTTTTCCCGCCTCTGTTAAAGTTTGACTAATTTACGAGTGAGTAATTGTCTTTCTCTGCTTTCTTTCCAGAATTTCCCCACGAACACCTGTGACGCAAAACGATCCACTTGGCGCACTCAATGACGATGACGAGGAAGTCTGTGCGACTCCACAGGCGAAGAGTGCGGCCGGGGAGGAGCAGAGGGAGTCGGCGTGTAATAATAACAACACAATGTACACGGATCAGCCAATTCTGTTCAAGGGACACAGAAGTGCCACTTTTGATGAATCAACACAACTGGGCAAGAGCATGCACAGGTCGGAGACAATGCCAGCGGCTTCGGTGACGTCCAGCCTGGCGAGTTTGGGATCATCGCTGAAGTTTAGCTTTGGGTAATTAAGAGTCACACTGCTGCTTACTTTTCCCCAAATGAGTCGCTTTTATTTGCGCGTTCTCACAATTTTTTCTCCCATTTTTTGCTCCTCTGTTTTTTCTGCTCTGACTTCGTGCCGAGAAGACAGCATGACTTTCTCTCACACTTTTTAGGAATTCAGTGGCTTTTCTGTGTACATTGGAGTTAATGAAATTGTTTCTCTTTCCTTCTCCTCTTTTATCCCTATTTTTTGTTGACACTCATTTGAATATATAATTTCTTTCCATTTTTCGTTCAACATTAATTGCAATATGTGTACATATATGCATAAATAGACGCTACTCACCTGCACGTTTGTCGTTGAGAAAGGATTTGAAAATTCCGACGCAAATAATCGAGAACTTTCCCAATATCAGGTGAGTTATGTAGTGATTTATGTACAGAAGATACCTTTCATCTCCTCAAGCTGTTGTATATTTAAACATGTCTTTTTTTTGCACACTTTTGAATAACTCGTGTCTCGTGAATTTTGAGGAATTTGTGTGAGATGAGTGCTGGAAAGTTAGGTGCGCCTTATTAAATTTCCATACTTTCTCTCGTGCTTTCAGCCCGAGTCTGACTGGGAAGAAGTCCAATGAGATCATTCAAGGTGGAATAAGCAGCATCAAGCATGCAGCAACGTCGGTGGCGAAGAAATTGGATGAGATTAAGGAGGCGATTTCGGCGAATTCCACACCCGTGAAGACGGGCAGTCTTGAGCGCGGTGCTCAGTTGCACGTGTCGGAAGATGACTTGCTGACAGACGATGCGGCGTCGCGTTCGCGACGCGCTAGTGATCTGGATTTGTGGGGGAGATTGAGTGAATCGAGGAAGTCTAGCTACAATAATTTAGTGCCTCTAGGCGAGAATACGTCCAGCAATAGCTTGAACAGCACTTATCCAACACTACCGGACAACTTGTATCCACCATTTGTGGAGGTATGACGACGGTGTGAGAAGAGTGCAGTGATATGAGAGATTTAATGTTGTTTTCATCAACAGGTTGGCGAGACCCAAGAATGTGATATTACGATAGAATTAACGTCTTGCTCACAGTGTCACAATTGCTCTGTGCTGCTGTACGACGAGGACATAATGGCGGGGTGGTCGTCTGAGGATTCCAACTTGAACACAACATGCCATGCCTGTAGCAAGTTAACTGTGCCATTCCTCAATGTCTACATGAATGTTCACAACGAGACACTGCAGAAGGTGAAGAAATCAGAACGTATCAGCGTGCCGTATCTGAATCCATTGGTGCTGCGAAAGGAATTGGAGAATATTCTCATGCAAGAGGGTGACGGTGTCCTCTGCAAGCTGTCGTTTGTGGAGGAGCATCCGATCATCTATTGGAATTTGGTGTGGATCATGGAGAGAATTGACGTTACCACACATTTGCCCAACTTGTGCCTGCCGAAACAGGTGATTATTTCTCGAAGAATCGACCCTTTACCATGAATCTTTGATTACCTACAGAGCTTTGAAATTCTGTCTGACTTTAAGTTAATGTGTCGCATGAATTATATATGCACTGTCTGACCGCAGCAAACAGCCTTCAATGCTCAACATTTCGCTTTCTTGCGGTTTCCTTGCAGGAGGACGAGGAAATTGACCCACTGAGTGGCATGAAAACGCTGGTGGTTCACTGTTTGTGGGACAATTTGGAGTTGCATTCAGAGGCGGGACCGCCGATGTACATTGTTTGGCGGCAGAATCCCTCGCCGAGTCCTCTCCTGAAGGCTCTTCTCACAGACCAAACAACGCTCAATCGAACGTGAGTGGGGAATAGTATTCTCTGGCAGGAAGATAATCGATAATTTCTCTCTTCCTTTTTCAGTGTTATTCAGCAAGTGATCTCAGCTGTGAGATGCAACGATCTGCTAACTCCTGTGCGGCGTCTGGCGAATGAGAGGCACAAATTGAAGGGACGCGGTGTGGATCGAACCCATTCGATCTACAGAGACGTGCTGTTTCTCGCCCTCACGGCGATTGGGCGCGCGAATATCGACATGGGATTCTTTCATCGGGAGTACGCTCTTGTGTTTGACAAGCTAACTGAGAAGGAGTGCAAGACGTACTATCGGAGTCAAGATCTGCCACCGGCGGCGGCGGCAATTTGCTGCCGAGCCTTCTTCAAGCCTCTCCTGCTGCCCTGACACACAGACAATCGACAGATGTGGCATTTGCGCAGGTAATTGATATGATCATCTTGTTATCTGCTTCATCTCTGGTGCACTTTTCATTAGCCTTACTTCCCTATTACCATTATTTAAAAGCGTCGATCGCCGACACCACAGCTTAGAAGTGGTGTCGATCTTATTTTATAGTTTATAGAGAGTGAGATGGTGAAATCTCCCTGTTGACTCGTGAAATTATGTGTGTCTATGCGCGTATAAATTGTTGAAGATGCAATACACACCATGTTATCATGATTTTGGATTTGGCGATAAGTATAATAAATTTATGTGGTTAACACGTTTGAATCAACGAATTGATAAGCACACGCATTGAAACTTTAAAACTCTGGTTTGTACTTAAGCGCGAGGACAAGGAGCCACTCAATTACCAAGAGTAAATTCTCGGTTGTAGCGTTCATTAACACTCCATTTATAATTTACACACGGAACACGGAGATGAATATCTTCAAATTTATTCTGTTACTCTTATTAGAAATTATTACATGAAATGGCTTTTGTAAAATTGTACAGTGTCGGCACAGCTGATGGAGAAAATAAAGTATATGATGAGAAAGTGAGCAAGGACTTCAGTCTGTGTATTTTCCCGAATGCGGAAGTTACTGTCTAATGACTGTTTTGACGCGACAAATTAATCCAATTAATGTGGAGATTATTCTGCAGCAAAATGATAAATGTTGATGCACATTGTTTACCCATTAATCATATTATTTCAATTAAGGCAATTGTATGAGGCGTCTCTTCGCGCATCTGCTAATATGTTGGCACAATTATTCATTAGACGTGTGTGTTTATGTGTGTGGGTTCAATGCAAGGCGAGAAGAGATAGTTGCGAGATTAATTTTATCCTAAATGATTTGCCATTTATTGCGGAGAGGCGGTCGTTTCACGAGTGAGAGCGAGAACAATGGGATAATGAGATGAATTTCATTTGGATGATTTCCTTTTGGAGTGCGAATCTCCCTTTGGTCAAGTCACATATGACCTGCTTCGGGCGAGTGGGTGTGAATATTCTGCAAATTAGCACATTCGTGGTGATGCTCTTGGTGCGATTATTTGAAATATGAGTGTGGGATATGTGAGAAATGCCATTGAACATGTTCCTTGCGTCCGCCTGTCTCATTTGCCGCAATTACTCCCACTATCACGCTCGAATTCCTTCGCCTTCTCGCCGCAATATCATCTTTCCTTTCACTCTCTTCTCCGCCCCCCAACTTGGCGACCTTCTCTGGACAGCAGAATCAATCATTTAGTTGCAGAATCTTATCTCCGATCGTCCTTTTTTCTATGGTGACACTGGCTGGAAAGCTTGGAGAAAAGTTTGGCGAGTTCACCGCAAAAAGTTGATAGCAGACGCTAATTACGCAGAGGCGGAAATTCATCGGGGACTTGGAAAGTCGTCTCGCCGCGCAAATTGGCAAAGATGCTCATCCTTCTTGTCTCAAGCGGGACAGATTGTGCCAATTTCCATCTGGCAGCAGAGACGTAGTGTCTGCCAAGCCTATGATTTGCAGGTAATGAAATAATAAACTGATTAGTCTGTGCCTTGAACTTGCTGTTGGATTTTTCTTGTGGTTGAAGAAATCAATAATAATGTGAAATTGTGATGAGAAGCAAGCGTTTTGGAATGTTATGCTAAGGAAATGTTGCATTTGCGATGAGTTAAGTTATCTACATTTTTTCAGAAATCATTATACACAAATTTCAGTAGATAAACTCAATACTTTGATTCGTTCATAAACATATATATTTTGTTTATGTACCACTAATAAAGCGTTGAATGAAGTTTTTTGTGGAAATTGCCAGAAAAATCTGTGTATTTAACGATAAAGTGTACTTAAATGCGAATTAACGCTTAGCAAAAAGCAATTTGAGTGCATAAAGTTGTTGATGAAAACACTGGAATAATCCCGATGTGGATGTTTTTACTGTGTGGATTTACGGATTTTCAAAAATATTTAAGCTCCGGAAATGACTCAAATTCACCTCTGAATCAGTTCAATGGGATTTTAGGTGAGTAAAAATTGCGTTTCAGTATGATGACGATAAAAGTGCTCATGAAGTATTTTGTAGTAGCAGAAATCCATGTTTTTCATGTCAATATTCAACAGATTGTTATCAGAGTGGTTTTGTAGAATTTTCCGTCAACCATCAGTCATCAAGCCTCAGTGGTGTTTTGCTACGCCACTGACGGTGGCCGATTGCGATGATGAGAGGTCGGAAGGGATGCTGATCATCCATCGCCAGGGTCGGAAGATGCTCGGTGAGCCCGTGACATCAAAGTGTCTATAAAGTGGTAGACGAGATTGCGGAGGAGCAGAGAAATTCCCCAAGCGGAATTCCATATTTGGAGAACTTTTAAAGGGGAATTCGCCGCCCGTTTTATTTACTTTTGCACCGCGCGGCAAGAAAGTCTCCGGGTGGAAAATCTCGGGGTGTGCAGCATGTGGGTGTGGAGATGGGAATCTCTTATTCTGGCTTCCTCTCTGCCACAATGCTGTCATCCATTGCCGGAAACCGTATTCCATTGTTCAAATATATTCCACCATATTGCCATTTATCGCTCATTCTCACTGTCTCTCCACGCCCATCATTGACTTTACATCCCCGCCCGAGCGCTTTTTCTGCTGCCGTTTTGAGGGCCCTTTTCCCACTCGATGCTTGGCTAAAGACATTTTATAAAAATTCCATATTTACACTCACATGTCTCTCATGCTGAAGCCTGTGATGGAATCTAAGATGTTTCATCAAACAGTGAAAAGGCCACGCACAATGACGAAAACGCTCGTCCTCGAAGCTCTTCGCACTTTCCATATATATTTTTTCAACCTCGAAAGCGCCACAAGAGGCAAAAAAAATTAACCTATAGAAAATATTTTACATTTTAATGCTGTTTGAGGGAAAATTGGTCCGATATTTGTGTACATTGACAAAGCGAGTATTGGCAAAAATGTTTACCAAAATTAGCCCAAAGCCAATATTGTCAATATTATTTTGAATACGAGTGAAAATGAAATTTTACAAGTTAATTAATCTGCCAGGAATGTCTTGGTTTTGATACAATTTGATGAATTCCATTTTAAATGACATAATTGAGGTTACCAGTGGAACCAATTATAATTTTGTAATGGTTTGAGTCTGTTCATTTAATTATCGAAATGCAAATATAGAAGCCTAAAACATTCAACCAACTACCCAATAAAACGTGTTGAATAATCTACTTAAAATAGTCACTTAAAATTGGATAAATCCGAGTAGTTATAATAATTAAAACTTTATCAATTTACGCTATTCTGCACCAGAATTTGTTCACGTCATTAAAAGTGTGAGTTATATCATAATTCTCTTATGATATTGTACTCACGTGCTGTAATTAATTTTGCTGTGCGTTGCAAATGTGTGTCAGAACTGGGAATTTACGCATGTCAATCGAAGAGGATTGATGAGTGAAACTCCTCCTTGTGAATTGAAATTGTTCGTATTCCATGGCATGTGGCTGAGTGCTGTGTGGTGTGAAATTGCCGTTGAATTCGCTGTGCAGAACACGCGAGAAATGATTCGATTCTATGTCACGACAAAGCCACCCCTCGAGGATCTTTGTACTACACGATGCTCCCAGCCAGACGGAGAAACTTCTGCAACAATGTCCATTACGAGGGTCTCTGTCGATGTACAGAAGCAAATGACTCATGAAGAAGCATTGGCAGAGAGCAAATTGATAAAAAATCAGTGCGGTGAGAAGTGGAGACAAATTCCAATACGTAATGTTTCCCTTCTATTCTTCTGTGTCATTTGATCAGAGAGAGAATGAGCAGAGCGAAAGGACTTTCTTTTGGGGGCTTTCAAAGAGCTGAGCTGAGCGGAATGCTGGGTGAAGAATGGCAAGCAATCTGCCCTCGGGAGGGCAGAGAGTCAACGTCTGGGCTGCATTGGTGGCAAGAAGTTGTGGAGCAAAGGAAAATGGGAAAATGAAATGGTGTTTGCGAGAGACTATTAGGAGCACAAACCTCTTTTAATAAACACTTTATACAATTTAATGCCCATCATTTGCCGTCGAAAGTGGATTTTCCGTTGAACTTCATTGGATTTTCCGGAGCTTCGGGCTCCAAAAACCCCTTTTGTTCAGAAGCTCATTGCGCTTGATTATGTCCCGTATTACAAATTAACATTAACGGTCACTGTGTAAACAACCGACAACATATTCTACGCATTTTTGGGGATGATAAATTAATTCCGACACAGTGTTGCGTCATAGTTAATTCCTAAATACACCACCCCCGCGAATTCTTTATGTTCTTCTGACTTTCCGGAAGCACAATATTTTAGATGCTTCGCCTGACTTTGGCTGGTCTTAATTGAAATAACATTACATAGAATGGCGAGAGTGAAGAAGAATGGGAAAATTTTTCTTTCTTTTAGTACATAATTTTTATTATATGTACAACATCAAAGGAAAACTTTTGCTTCACTGTTAGATTTCTTTCTGTGCAGTGGAAAATAAAGAGGAAGCTCGACAAATCAAAGCTTTTCTCACAACTTTGCATCACATTATGCTTTATTCCCATGTGACGAAACTTTTAATTTACTGTTCTCGTGAAAGCGCTTGAAATTCGTGTCTTTTATCAAAAAAGGAAACAATCAAATTATACAAAATTGTTGCTGACACGTGATGATAACGGTTATTTGTGCCTTTGGTTTCGTGTTTTAATTGATTCATCAAATAACTTGAGTTGCGATTATTTGCCAGTTATTTTCTAATGCAAAGAATTATTAAATAAATTGCATTTCCGGGCCTTGAAATGAATCTTTGCACAAAATATGCTATTCTAAACCTTTTCTGAGCTTGCAGTGAATAAAAAAGCAGATGGTGTTCTAATCAAATTTATAGTCAATATCAGAAAAAAAAACTGTCCCAAATTTGTGTTCGAAAGTGCTCTATTCAGTTCTCCAACGAAAATCGAATATTAACCATCCAATTTTTCAGAGGAAAGGAAACAGATTCTGTGTGTAAAGAGCCCATGAGACATGATGAAAAATGCAGGAGAGATCCTTAAATATGATGGCCCAGATTCCTCAATTGGCGAGGCAATCTGGAACGAAGTTGATAAAGGGGAATGGATTTAGAGAGTGACTGCTGCCACTTGAGGAATCGCACAGACTCCGTCTCGTCCTGGCAGAAAACTCATTTCCTGGCTCTTGTATTAGATTTCAAAATAACGCAAAATAACATTTTTCCTTATATCCGCATCAACCACACATTTAAATTTAATTACAGCGAGCATTTCTTCGTCTTTGGTCTCCCTCGGACTGAAAATTCCAGTCCGCGCGCGCGTTTCCCTTTTTTCCCGTGCTGCACTAATGAATAAATATCATTTCCAGGATATTTTTTCCTTCACTCTCTATCCAACAGAGATTAAATGAAATTCACATTTATTATATTCACTAATTGAATTGCGTCTGTGATTGGGAGATGAAAAATTCTGTTCTTGAGCGTTCCTCTCTATTCCTTTGATTAAAAATTTCATTTGGCTTAGGAAAAATAACCAGACGAGAAAATTTT